AAAAGCAGAGAGAAATTAAAATGAATAATTCATCAGATGTTGTGGGTTCATGTGCACATCCTTTAAGTGTCCTTTATATACCCTTAGGCCCATTAATCTATGACAGAGAGGGGAAAAGTGCTGATGTGGGGGGCTTCATGTGACAAGTTAATCTATGCTGCAAATGCACCACAGGCCAGGACACAGGGCTGGACACAGAACCAGCACTAAACACTGCTGACAACATCATCTGTCTGACTGTGAAGGATTTGGTTAAAACTACTTTAATTTAATTCAAATATAGATGGAATCTGAGTTTCTGTTTTCAATACTTCCTCATTTTAATCACAAAACATTGCTGACAACATCGTCTGTCTGACTATAGAGGATTTGGATAGAACCTAAACTTTAAACGTGCATTGTATAACTTTTCTGGTGGAGGGTACGTCAAATGCTTTTCCATGGAGATGTTATTACTGTGTCTGGAATGTTTCACAGTGTGGTATTAAGCCTTTCTATATTCCTGGAGACCAAACCAGACCAAGTTACAGGTTACATCTGTGAGGCAACCCCGCTCACAGTCAGAATGCCTGTTTTTCTAGGTATTTTTGAGTTACAAAACCACCTGTAATTTAACAAATGTAAGGTATGGCTATTTAATGTCATACTGTGGAACATTCCAGGCAGAGCAGTGACATATCCATAGAAACAAGTAGGTGACGGACACTCCACCAGAAAACACAGTGCACCATTAAGCCATGTTATAATGTTGTTACTTTATTAAAAACATACCCAGAGTTGTGTTTTGTTTCATTCATACATGTTTGACTAAAGCTGCATTATTAGTCTGTCTACATCTCCAAGGCTCAAAACACAATTCCAACTATATTTTTGATGTGAAAACAAAATTTTAACAGATCAGAAAAATAGTCACATGGGCCCTTTAACAGTTTTTAGAGTAGATTTAACTTAATTGTGAAAAAGTATAGAAAAATAAGATAATGTCTAGCTTGCAAACACTTTATTAACCAAATTATTCCTGAATTGACTTGTGCTCCTCTTGACCAACCTGCATATTTCAATATCAGCTTGCGTTTGCCTATAGGAGATAGAGTGAATGCTGTTAGACATGTTAACATCATTTACACTTGGATCCTTAGTACTTTGAGAAATCTGATCGTTTCTTTGAGGAGAAAGATGTAATTAGATTTGCAGATCGTTACAAATGATCTGTAAGACTCATTTCTATTTCCGCTTTTCTCACTTTACTGTGTGCAATGATTTATTCCTCATCTTGAGATCCTGCGCAAACCTCAGCTCCCCTCCCCCGACCTGGATAATGGAAGATTCAAGTTTCCCTTCCCCTAAGGGCTCTTTCAAAATCTATGACTTTTTAATATATTTTCTCAGAGCACCTCACTGTCATTGTCAGCTATTTCCACTCCTAATTCTGATTGATTAACCCCATTCATGCCATTCTGTGCCTTTAGTTACACATACCAACATTAGCGATACTGTAGGAGTCCCGACCTGCAGTATGGGGCCCAGCTAGTTTTTCATTATAGAAGCAAGTGGCCCCTATGATTTGGTCAAAGAAAAAAAAAAAGAGGAGAAACTTTTTGGTTATTCAATGGTCATCTTACTTCAGTGTTCAGTGGCACAATCTTAAACGTAACCAGATTTATTTAAACAGTATTGATGATGACTAATTGATACGCCAGTGACATCATGCCGGGGGTGTTTTACATTTATCTATCTGGAGATGTTCAGCAGGTACCACGGTGACACGATGCACATGTTAGCAAACACAGACAAAAAAGTTTCAAGATAGTCTGAAAGCTCAAGAAAAAAATACAAAATGGATTTAAATAGCACATTTTCAGGAACCTTTGTTCAATATATGTTTATGGTCTTGTTTAGACAAAAAGGTGAGAGTGAATAACTGAAAAAATGTTGGCTAAGGGCACAAATCAATTCACCTGTTGTAGTTCCAACAAAGTCAAGTCTTTCTGGTCAGTTTGTGTTAAAATAAAGCTCAGATCAAGTTTAACTTGAGTCACAGAGCTTCTAACAGAGTAGTGGGTTCAGTTAGCCTCACACCCTCAGCGAATGTTGATGATATTACCTGCAAAGTATTAATAGACAGGAACAAGATTATTTACCATAGTTTTAGAATTTCTTAGCGAGAACCAGGAAGTAAAACTTTAAACAAAAAAATGGCCAAACCGGGCAAAAATTTTCTAATTTAATGATCTTTCTTGTGTTTTAGTAAAATGAGCAGGCCAATTTATCACAGACACTTTAAGGCAATGGCTATTGGTATTTGTGCAGATATTGCATTGAATCTCGAGTCATAAATGTCCCAAAGCTTTCATTTACAAAATAGAGGTGTACAAAATATAGAAAAATATATTTAGTTAGTTTGCTATTTTCATTCAGAAAACTTGACAGAATTTAATTTTTATTTTGTTATGGATCCTACCTGGATGGCTGAGGGATTAAACAGACACAGGATATAGGCAATTTTCTGTACAACTGTTTTACTCACAGAGCTATACGATGTTATGTGTACTTTAGGTCTTGATCCTTGGCATGGCCCAGTTTAACGTGTGGCGAGGAGGCCACATTCCATCCGCATGCCTGTAACATACAAACAGAAAAACACGCATGACACTAGTTAACACAGTGCCACTTTATAGACATCTGTCCTCATTCAGCAAGTCAGCACACTTTACTCACTTCACACTTCTGCAAATAACACCCAAATTACTTACTTTCTTTCTAATGCTAAAGGACCCAGATTACACTATTTTCTGATCTGTTATGGTAGTGGTTCCTCATCACAAACAGAACTGGAGTTGTGCTTTTTTGATTCACACATGTATAACACACAAACCCTGCATATTTAGGCTGAGTTCTTCTCTCAATCAGAAAACAACCTGACCAAACCAACAACTGTTCCATTTTGTGATGTCATGTGGTAATACAAGAAGTGCTTCAATGTGTTCTGAAACTCCATACAACTTCGCTAGAATTATTTGGATAATGTCGGCCCTGGAATTGCCAGTGTGTACTGAACAAAGGGTAAAAGGGAGCTGTTCATTTGAAAACTACCATTTAATGGCATCACAAGGTAGAACAGAGCGTTTTGAACTTTGGAGATGAAACAAATCACAACTCTGGGTATGTTTTTAAGATTTAACAGCATTATAACATGGGTAAAAGCTCTCAAGAATCCATGCTGTGTAAAATAGGACCTTTAAAAGACTTGATTGGATTGATTTAGATTGCTAATGTAATTCCTGGGAATGTTACTTGACCTATATTTGTTCAGAGGAAAGACAACATTTTTACAGTTACTGTACCAGGGAGCAGATATTTGTTGTTAATTGAGAGATAATGCAAGGATTTTGATTGCAATCTTAAATCCTGGGAATAATTTTTCACCCAGTCTTAACTTCAAAAGGCCGGACAGTGGTGCGAACTGGTGTCTCCTTGCAGTGTAGTCCATGTATTTACCACAGATGTCATTTAAAGTCAAGCCTGACTCATTTCAATGCAAGCCTGAGATTGAGTTTATTACTAACCTGCAGTAGTGTAATTTCTCCAGAGACAAAAATGACAATTCGATGCTAATGTTAACTTTTAAGTGTTGAATGGCAGGCTAAGGCGCTGACGTGCTGAGATTAAAAAGATAGCAATGGCCGTAATAATGGTAGAATAAGCAGTATCTGTAGTAATATGGGCAGTATCAGATTGTATATAGAACCTTTTTACATTTAAATTGTAATATTGTTGGGTTCTTTTCAAAATTTTTACTTTAGTAAACTGTTATATTAGTCATTTTACAGACAACTATTCTAGGGTCAGAGACCAGCCACACAAGTCACTCTGCGCCAGGGATCAGGGTCAGATTTGTTTATCTGCAAAAACAGATGGTATTTTCATAAACCAGTGGCAGCACATGTTCCAAACAAGACTTGAACTTGGTTACGTTGTGAAAACAGGAGGTTCATGAGGTCATATTCCTTGAAAGCTTGTCATTAGTAGGAGGAAATTGAGCTAGGGGCTTTAGTAGCCTCTACACAAGGATTTCAGAAAAAATCATAAAAATAAGGCCAATTCATCACAAAGTGGTATTGAATTAAATATAAAATTGAAGCAAAACAATAAGATGATCTGAAGATGTGCTGATGGTATCCCCTACAGTGTTTTTTGCCTCTGTCTCATTATCCCCAAGCCCCAGCTCCAAAGATTTCTGAACAGAGTGATGACAGAAGAGCACTAACATGATTCTGCTGGAGGAGTGCTGTCAGCTGACATTTTCATCAGCATTGGCCTAACATTATTTGCCTGTCTGTATTTGTTTTGGCTCTGTCAGAACAAAAGTTGTTCTACTTCAGGGGCCTCAGTGATCACGCATAATACTGAAATATTAACAGTATTTTCTATAATGGGATAGCTTTGGGATAATGGGATTTGGGATAATGAGATATTTTCCTGTTCCTGAATCACAGACCAAGTTAAAGGTGCATTGTGTAACCTTTTGAGGGGAGGGACAATCAAATGCTTTTCTCCATGGAGATGATATTGCTTTGTCTGAAATGTTAAGATATTAAACCTTTCGGTCTTCATGGAGACCAAACCAGACTGTGTTACAGGTCAGATCTGTTGAGAGGCAGCTAAGCTGTAAAAAGGCAGAGCAATGGCATATCTATACAAACAAGCAGGTGACAGACCCTCCACCAGAAAAGTTGCACAATGCAACTTTAACACAACAACCTTGACGATATTTTTAAGAAGACTTGGGAACCTTTTGTGATGTATATAGGACGAGGTTTCTGCTTTCCTGAATAAGGCATCTGCATTTTGAAATGGGTGTGTCTGTGGCCAGTATATGAATGGACAAAGTTTGTTTTGTTTTTGTTGTGTTTAGTCTGTCTAAACTAAAACGCAATAAATAGCAACCTCATGAACAGTTTGCAGTTACAGTGTTGTGTTGTGTTTTTTGTCCCTCTCAGGCTCCTGTTTCTGGGTGGCAGTCCTGGATGGGCACATTGTGGGCATCGTGGCAGCACAGGGCAGAGAGGAGGACAACACAGTGGAGTTGCGGCGCATGTCGGTCGACTCTCGATACCGGGGCAAGGGCATCGCCAAGGCTTTGGGGCGGAGGGTGCTAGAGTTTGCCATCCGGAATAACTTTGCTGCAGTGATCCTTGGCACCACCGCTGTCAAAATGGCCGCCCACAAGCTGTACGAGTCTTTGGGTTTCCGCCAGACCAGCCAGAGTGAAGACTACAGGCTTCCCGGTATGAGCCGCTCGCCGCTGGAAAGGCTCTTCTTCCAGATCCGCTATAGCCGATACCGCCTGCAAATCCGCGAGGAGTGAGGGGTGAAGTGGAGAGAGGAGATGGAGAGGGGGAGAGAGGGAGACAGGCGCCCGGCCACATCCTCTCCTCAAAACATATTTATTTTGTTTCCTTTCAGATAACTTTAATATCAACTAGATCATTCTCTAACATTTTGTTACAGTTTTGTTGCAGTTTTTTTTATTATTATTACTTTTAAAGAAGACTTGTTTTTTTATATTTTGTTAAGCTATTGTTTGTATCTTACCCTTCCCTCCATTTTGTAAGTGAAAGTCTGTGTTACTGAGACAAACTTCTAACTCGCCATTTAGGCACCCTCTCCGAGGGCCTGGTCAGTAGAAACAAAGTGATCAAAATTTTCTTCATAAAAAGTCTTGATGTAATTTGTTTTTGAAGGTTTTTGGTCTAGTTCTAAAGTAGTCCAGTTGAGTCTAACTTGATGACTTGCAGAGTGGTTACACACCTTTCTGGCCTCTTGCTGTTCTCTCACGACACCATATTGGAGCTCAGCAAGAGATTACTGCCAGTCAAAAGAGGGAGAGATGATGCTGATAGAAAAGACAGAGAAACACGCAGAGGTGGGTGGAGTAGCCAAAACATTTACTTGAGTAAGAGTAACGTTACTTCATCATAATATTACTCAAGTAGTAGTACAAAGTAGTAGTCCAAAAAATTACTCAAGAAAAAAGTATAGAGTAAAGAGTAACTGTAGGGACGTAATATCTGATTTATAATTTGAAGTTAATGTAATTTAAAGAACAAACATTCAATAATACTTAAAATCTGATACGTTCAAAGGACAGACACAAAATTTTTAAAAACTAAATAATATTTGAAGGAGCAGTGCAAGAAACACATATGTTCAAATCATTTAATATTGGCAACATAATTTTTTTCACTTGTAGACTCACTCACAATGGGAAGAGTTCTGTTGCTTTAATAAAATGTTACTGCTGCTAGAAAAGTACTCTGAAAAGTAAAATTTCTTTAAAAGTTACTCAAGTAAATGTAACTGAGTACCACCCACCTCTGGGGACTTGTAGCACAGATCTCTTTTCCTGATTGATTCTGATCTTAAGTCAGTGGAGTGGGTCTCTAATTGGCTGCCTTCTTTACACACAATATACAGTAGCTGCATGTTGGAGCTAGACTGTGTATGTGTTAACAGTGTGCTTTAGCTTGGTCAACTTTTAGGCCACAACAACGTTTTGAAACTCAGTTAACCTCTTTTTAATTGGTACATACGGACACCCTTTTCTCACCAAGTTTCAGGCATTATTCAAACAAACACTACAACTTTGTATTAAAATGTTTACCTATGTAGGAAAGACTGATTCTACATTTATGATATGTTTACTATTTGACCAGTAATTACAAAACTATTTTGTATTAACACCAAATATTATGCAAATTTAGCTGTTACACTGGCTACATTTTTATTTTTATTAATCCAGGTTTTCTTTTTAAACAACCTGGGTACAATATGAGCAATACTTGTAAACCTACAGCACATAATGAGCACAAAACAATTATTCAAAATGATTAAGATCCCCCCTCCATTTAGATGTATGTTCATATACATTTAAATTTCAATTATTGATTTATCCTACTCTCTCCATTTCCATCCTCCATCCATTCAACCAGCAGTGGATTCAGACTTTTACCACTCTGAACCTAAGCTGAGACATTACCCATATGTAAAAAGGAACATAAATTTTGAAAAACATGTACAAAAAAACCCCATAAAAGTAAAAATATGTAAAAATCTAATTCAAATTGTAATCATCATTTGATCCTTCCTGCCTAGACTTTTCCTTCAAACCTTTCCAGAACCATTCATGAATCTGTCTGCAACCCTGGGCAAGACCCCAAACCTCCCATCTGAACCTTGAACACCCAACACCGACCTTTGGCCCTCCCATCCCCCGCCCCATCATCTCTGCATGTGCCACAGAGCCTTGCTGCACTGCTTTTATTATTCCATTTGAAGCTCCCAGACCCCACCCCCATCAGATGTCATCCACGCAGAGCGCTCCCATGGTGTGGATTAGAGTTAGACTGTAGGGGTCAGCTGTAATGAGAGTTACAAACAAATGTGAAAAGTAAAATCCACTCATCGAGTGAAGCCTGCGTGGACGGCACGCTGCCTGCCCGCCCACCAACTGTAGAATGCAAAAGCAATGCAAGTGTGGCATGCCTCTGTACCCAGTGTGTACGGTGCCTGCCCTGGAAAAGAAGACAAAATACTAATATATACTATATACTGTATGGATATGAAAAAAATATTGTTCTTGTATAGACAAACAAATGTGTTCATTTTGTTTGGAGTAAAACCTTGTACTTCTTGCATGAAATGCGTTTCTAAATGCAAAAATAACTTCGATAAGAAACACAGCACATGGGACACAGTGAAACAATAGACATATGGAAGATGTTTTTCTTTGGTTTACTTTTTTATATCAGAATCAGGCATGGGTTAGTGCCCACAACGACAGCACAGAACCATTTTTTCCACAGTGGACCTCTAGGTACTTCAAGCTCAAGTTAATTGTTGCAGATCCGCATTTGTTTTGCTGCTGGTGTTTTGGCCCCTTTAAACCATGTTTTTTAGACAACGGGGCTCAATTCACACAGATGCACAGATAAATGTAAGACTGCTTTAGCTGAAGGATTTTAGACACCTCTGATGAGTACAGATCTGTTGGTACTATAAGGCTTTAAACACCAATGCTTCATAAACATGTTTTGCTCCATTATGTAACACACTGGTTAAGAAACTGAAGGAAGGAAACACCCATTGCTCAGTGTTAACTGTACATTTATTGTTGTTTATATTTTAGAAGAATGTGAAGTCTGTCAATTCTGAGCCATTTCTGCTGCTGCCATTCTCTGTTTTGCCGAATGAAATTTCAAAGCTCATTCATGGACTGTATGCTAGGATCCACACTGGTCCATACATTGAACAGAGGCATTAATACTCACCATGCCTTTGCCAAGGCCCTATGCACTGGACACTTGGGCTGTGTTAATGGAAGTCCAATGCTGGATCTTAATTGTAAAAACAAAGTGCACTGACTTATGCATTGATATCATGTGAATGCTATGCCTTGTAGCATCCCCCTCCAGTTCAAAATTCAAATGCAGAATGTAGTGATACAAACATGCTGATGTACAATCTGAACCACACTGTGGCTGTCTGTACTCCTGTAGCCTATTTGAGATGAGAGTGTATTTTTATTGGTGGAGCTTTAGAAATATGCTGCATGGAGACCTCTTCTGCTGAAGGAGGCTCTTTTAGTTGAGGGCTTTACACAAAAACAGTAAAGGGCATAAGCTGAGGCCACTGATAGAAAAGGCTTACACTTTTTAATCTCAACTCTAAAAATCATACCTTCGTATAAATGTCAGTATTGTTCATGCTCTCGGTTCAGGAGGAAAAGAAAGTTGCACAATTGTACACAAGCTGGGAGTGCACCGCCGCCTCCAGGCCAAACGCCCACGGGCATGAATGTAAACTGCCAACATTTTAAGTTTTAGAACGATGTTGTCTTGGGTTGCTTGCTACCATCAATGCTACACCACTGAGAGGAACAATGGAAAATGATTTCAAGTGTGATTGTGAATAGCGGTTCCTCTGTTTGTCGTCAGTGTATTATTTACTGCTACCTGTTTTATTTTCTGATTTGAACCCACCCTGATGGAGTTCATTAGTATCTCTGAAGATGGCTGCCGATGGACTGTTCCACTAAACAAGGAGGGTGAGGGGTGAGGGAGGAATATGCCACATTGGCAGTGGACAGGGGGTTTGGTGTTGCCTTGGGACAGCCTGGACTCCCTCTCTCTCTCTACCTCCCTGTGAAGATTTACCACTGTGGCAAACCTAGGACTCGCTTGGACTGAGGCCACAGGTGCCAAGAACTCCGAAGTACTTGTAGCACAACTGTGTCTTCTTTTGCTACTAGTCAAGATTTTCACTTCAAGTTTCTCCTCCAGACTGGACTGTGAAGATAAAGCCAGAATTGTCAAATGGCCCACAGCAAGGTGACATTAGGCCAAAAGTGACAGTAATAATCTGTATTTTATCATTTATGCTATTCAAACGATCCTTACTTTATTTGGAAATCCTGCCAGTGTGCCATTCAAACGAGCAATAAATGCAAGCCCACTGAAAACCATGGAATTAATGACTTACTCTCCACAGTTTATTGAAATGCTGCATCCATGTGTTATCTGTACAATACCACTGATTTTACTCTTAAGGGGTGACTGTTTTTTAGTTAGCTTTTTTTCTTTTTTTACCAAGAGGTGTTTTTAAAACTTGAAGTTGAAGTACACAGGTGTACCTCTGCATATTTTAAAGAAATGACAAGAGAGGGATCAGAAACGCTACATACTGGGCATGCAAAGGAGAGCACTGTACTATTAGTCTACTGCCAACAATAAACCACACAGTGGAACATCACAAACACCAAGTCCAAATATACTGCAGCTATCTCAACAAAGTCAGATTCAATACATTTTCTTTGTTTTGAATCTAAAGCAATGTAAAGTTGTAAAAAATAATACTGTAAATAGCATATGGGGTCATTTTTACTCCTTTTGTAACTGAAAATGATGGTTTAAAATATATACGTATTTTAAAGATGTGAACAGCACTTCAAACTAGCATGGGTATTTTCATCCATGCTGTGCAACAATCTCATACAGTAGTAGACTAATACCAGTCACTTTACATGTCATCTCAGGCCTTCCTGTCTGCTCAGACATGACGTAGCCCCCAAACCAGTGGTTTTGGCTTTGGATTGAATGTGTATTTTATACATACACCTACAGGGCTGTCATGGCTGATGTCTGTTGCCAGGAAACGCACAGGCAAAAAGCCCAGCGTGGGAGTGGGGTGCAGCCACAGTTGGGTGACAGTCAGGTCATCAGACAGAAGAGCCCAGGGCTCTGTAGTTTCAGGGTGTTTACTGCGTTTGCTGGAGTAAATCCTGAATAGTCTAAGGTCATTTCAGGAGAGACAATCTGAACAAGTGATAAGCACGGCAGAGTACACTATCAAGATTTTTTTTTTTGGTCAAATATGAATTACAGTTTGGAGATGAACAGATACAGTATTAAAAGGGAATAAAATATTGATAAGATGTTGTGTATAAGAAGCATTTTAACAAATGTGCTCTTGGATGACAGAGGCTGTATGAGCCTTTTAGCTTTCGCTTCCCTCTCCTTGCCATTCCTTTGAAAGACTTCTGTATTATCACATTTGCTAATATTATTGTGATTAACTTTATTTTATACTGACAACAGGAAAACTGTATAGGTGTAAAGATGGGACTTGCATAATGATTGGATGTAAATATATATAAATAAAAAGACAATGCGTTAAGCTTTCATATGTGCTGGTTTTGGTTTTATTTCTGCTTTCCTCAGAGATGTCTGATGTTAGATGAAGAAGTGCCACAACTATAAAGAAACAATATGCCTCATTGGCTCTACTTACACACATTGTGGTTGCCATGGCAGTGTGTGGAAGCTCATGCGGTTGCCATTGACGACTAAAATCTTCAGAGCGGCCATTAGTTCCTGACAGAGGCACAAGTCACAGTAATTAACCACTTGCATTTAATATTTGTGTAGATGCATAAAAACATTAACATTTTTTTCATCCATACATATGATTTTAAGTGAGATTATTGTTAAGGGTTAGGGTTTGAGGCATGGTATTGTGCAAACCACTGAACAAGAAATTCCTGGCTCAAATTTATATCTTTAAGCACTTAAAGATACTAAGATTGTCAAAAGTATCAAAAATTACATACTGAAACTACTATCAAAACTAGATATTAATTTGAACAAGTATCGATACTAAAAAGTCACATTCATAGGACAGAAAATAACCTATCCTGAATAGCTTTATTTATTTATTTATTTATGTATTTATTTATTTAATGAGACAGGGACAGTGCACAATTTTTTACATTAACCTTAACAGGAGAGATGCATTGTACCAGGTTGTAGCACCAGTGCTAATTTCCACCTGTAGTCCCTGGGCAGGTTCATTGATTGAGTGTATTTAACTGACCTTGGCTATCAACTGTTCTTCCTGGAGACCTGTGTAGCATGTTTTGGGTTTAGAATGATCCTGGCTGTATCAGAAGTACAAGACTACATAGACTGATATATGCCCATGTACTACTGTGGAACCTACCTGGAAAACTGACGGATTACACAGATATATGGCCACATGGTACTAGAAAATGCTGAAAAATTACATTTGATTGTCTAAATAAAGAGTGTTTTTATTATTATTGTGGTATCAGAATTGGCATTGAGTACTGAATCTATTCCTTAGTATCAAAATCAAGCTTGAAATTTTTGTATCGTGACAACATTTCAACATCAATATCTGTGCCCCTCAAAAACAATACTATAATGTTCGTGTGCTGTTTTTTATGAGCAGTCCCGCATTCCCCTGCTCTATAAAAAAGGGGGGAAGGCCTCAGACCCTTATAGCAATGCAACAATGAGAGAATAGGGGACTAGATTTCCATAACACTGTCCATACTAACCAGGGGAGAAAGGCTTTTCCTCATCAGCATAGACACACGGAGAGCGCATTCCTCCCATCGGGGTTCAACAGAGGACTGAAACAAAAAGAAATCAACCAAAGTCCATTGTCAGAAACAGGAATATTGTGTTTGATATTACAAGGTATTTACCCATAATAGGTGACGTCAAAGAAAAGACAGTTGGTATGTGTATCTGAGGTTCAAGTGAGAAGCTTTGTATCCTAATGCATTGACAATCATTCACACAAAGGAAATGGGTTATGGCCTATGAGTGGAGAAAGCAGGTTTGTGATTAATCAAAGAAAATAATACAAAGGCTGAATTGACGAAAATGTAAATTACAAGGTTATTTTATTATTGGCTTTAGGAAAATACCATCATTGAATTTACTCATTGAACTGGGTAATCTTTCATTCTTTCAAGAATTTTTGGGTTTAAGCGAAAGTAGCGAAGTAATTTAACAGTTGAACAAAAAAAAATGCACTTAAATGCTAAATTATTTAAGAAAGGCTGCACCCCAATAAAAATAAAAAAAAGTTTCTTAGAATAATGTTTATTAACAATCAAGAATAATAAGCATACAAGAACAGCAAAAAGTCTAAACTCTTTAAGTACAAAGATTTACTTTTCTAAACCCAAACATACGAACTCCAACTAGGGCAAAGAAAACATCACCAGATTTAACAAGATGCAAGATCGGAGAATTCAAGAAGGAGGAACACAAGGATTCTCTCTCTCTATTTTTTTTTTTTTACAGGATGGAAAAAAAAAATTCAGAACTGGCACAATCCAGTTTGTGGCTCCTGCCGTTGCCCCCAGATACGGATGGAGCAGAGGGAGGCGCCTGGTTTCCATAGTGACATGGATGCAGGACAAAGGATGAGTATTTATGTGGAAGAAAATGTATATAATAAAAAAATGACATAAGAAAAGACCCCTAAACAATGTCACAAAAACAACAGATTCAGAGCAGTAGTGCGGTAGTGGAAATGGACCGCAGGGTGCTGGAGGAAAGTGGTATTTAAAAAGATGGGTGTGACCGAGGTATATTAAGCTCTGACATGGAGCCCCAAGACTTCCCACTGGAGACCGCCACCTTTAGGGGAACCTGGGGAAACACACATGAATTGAAGAAAAATTTTGTCATTTGTTTATTATGGTAACTGGCTGCCCTACATAGATCTTAACCACACAACTAACCAAGACTAGCCATAAAAGTTAATTAAGAGTGTGTGAAAATATAGAAATAATGTAGAAGGTGGAAGAGCGTGGTACATAATTTAAGGTCTTCTGTAAAATTGTTCCAAAGATCTTTAACAGATACAAAATTTCATAATAGTTGTTCAGATTTTTTATTTCTTTTTTTTAACACCTCTGAGCTCATTTTAAATATATTCTGTAATGATTTTGATTTTGAACATGATTTTCAATGTGTAAAGGTCAACTATATTGTAAAATTTCAGGGTTTGAAGGTTTCCAAATATCGCATTAGTTGGTTCATTATAAGCTGATAATGTGATTGCTTTTACAGCCTTTTTTGCATAGCCAAGAAGCACATCGTGATACAAAATTGGGTGATATAGTATTGTTATCGTGAACTGCTGTATCAATATATATCGCCAAGAGTATTTTTGGTATCTTTTCGCAAAATTTTTTGTCACCGCACTACAATTTTGTTGCTTATTTAGTGGAAAGAAACTTGTTTATATAATACACTTAATTGTTATGATGATTAAAATGTATATATTTCATATTAACTTTGCACAATTAGTGGTTTAACAAAAAAAATATTGTTGCTAACATGTATTTGATTCTTAGAAAAACACCAAAATATCATGTGCAATATATATTTTATCACATATATCGTCATACTGTGATAATTTTGTATTGTGAGCCATGTATCATATTGAATCGTCAGAGAGCCTGTGATTCCCAGAGATAAAGTAAACAACATGTTGATCTTGTGAGAGTAATATAGTTAAATTGTCTTGGTCTAATCTAATGGGCCGTGACCTACAGAGGCAAACAGGGGGTTCTTTGTATAGGCAACAACCGCAGCTACAACTACAGCTAAGCAAAATTACAACATAAACTAGCACTTATCTATGCACTGAATGTTGTGCTTGAGAAAATGTTTGAAATGACTTGCTTTAAGATGGATGTTAAGTTGATCTATATGCTCAAGAGACTCCATACAGCTTTTCACCACAGCTGCCAAACACAGAAGCAAACTTTGTTTTAGAGCAGTTTATTACAGTCCAATAGTTATGCTACAGGAAGGTCATCACTCACCTGCAAATTGTCTACCTGTGAGTCCTCCACTTCATATAAAAGCTCATCATGGAGTTGAGCTATCAGCCTACAATAACAAAGAATGGAACAAGACAGAAAAATATTAAACTAATGCTGGCATGTTAAAAGGCCCATATTATGCTATTTTCTGATCTATGTTATAATGTTCCCTCATTACAAACATACCTGGAGTTGTGTTGTGTTTCATTTACACATGTTTAACACACAGGCCTTGCATATTTAGGTTGAGTTCAATCAGACAGAAAATACTTTGTTCCACCTGGAATTGGCAATCTCTTCTGAACAAAAGGTAAAAGGTGCTTTGGAGATGTGGACAGACTAATAGTGTACAAGTGTTACTCAAACACATGTGAATGAAACAAAACACAACTCCAGGTATGTTTTTGGGGAGGTGACACCATTCTAATACAGCTTAAAGCTCACAGAGTCAGTTGTAACAACTAACAACTAAATTGCATTTAGAGCATAAAACAGTAGCTGTAGTGTAAGACAGTAATAGTGCAATTCATATAGTGCAAAAACTCAGAATGTAAAAATATACACTACTGAAGTACTTACAACAGTAACACAATAACATGAGTTAAATACAGCAGTTTAGGTGTAGATGAGTTTTTGTTGTTTCAATGCAGAGTCCAGTTTACAGTTATGGCAGGTGTGGGGAGTGGGGGGGTTATGGGAGATCTAGGTGGAAGGAGAAAGGAGAGGCGAGAGGGGGACAGATCTCGTTGAGTTTGATTGCATGGGAATAGCCATTAGCCATTCTAATGGTTCTGGCGGGAAGTGACCTGTACCTCTGTCCAAAAGGCAGCAGGTGGAACAGAAATCAACAGTTGAGGGGTACTAGTGAAGATAATTATTCCCCCATGTCCAAGGAATAATAATAACAATGATGAAAAGGTGCTCTATAAATATATAGTATTTATAGTAATATATAGTATTCATATTATTTAATCATATCTATCTTACTTTGGAAGGGAATATTTGAAACCAAGATTGATGTGGTTGCCTGTTTTGTGAAATTATTATGGGATTATTGTTGCTCATTAGAATTGGTCAGTTCAAGTCTGTAGTGAAAAGCTGCTGGCTGTAATCATGTATGAAGACCTGGCAGAGGGACAGCTGGAGGTGGAGAGTAGGTTGAAGATTCTAATCATGGCCATCTTACAAAGATCTGCAGCTGAGCCTTTGACAAAAACAAAACAAATGGTCAAACATCTTATAAAAGTATTAAGGAGATTTATGAGATTTAATTTGAAGATACCTTGGACCACAAAGTTGACAGCTTGTCTCTCAGCTTGCATGCGAACACCCCAAACAGGAGAGTTAATGTTGTGAAGGGCACGGCGCCGGCCCATGATAGATAAAACATAACCTGGACAAGATGATAAACACATCAATACAACTGAGAATGTTTAATCGACCAGTCATGAGAACGTATTTTGACGTATGACATATTACAGTGGAAAATATAGATGATAACCTATAATAGTGAATACCCCCCTCCCCCTAAACACTTAATGAGTAATTTTCAAGTTATTTACTCAGTTTCTACAACTCAAATCATATCAAAGAACAGAAAAATAACAAAAAGTTCCCACGAGTACTAAGGAAAAGTACCCACGATAAATATTGTTCCACTGAGAGACAAAGAGAGAAAGAGAGAGAGAGAGAGAGAGAGAGAGAGAGAGAGAGAGAGAGAGAGAGAGAGAGAGAGAGAGAGAGAGAGAGAGAGAGAGAGAGAGAGAGAGAGAGAGAGAGAGAGAGAGAGAGAGGTACTTTATCGATCCCAAGGGAAATTCAAGTTTTGCTGCAGCATTTACATTGCACTTCTCAATCGCATTTGTGTCTCAGTGCAGTTTAACAGGAGGACTGGTCAAGTAGAGTCAGCAGATCTGTGTCAGGGCAGTTTGAGGAGAGGAAGAGCCAAAAGTGTCCCTCCTCTGTCCTACAGCCCGAGCACGGCAGTGCATTAAACAATGAAAGTACATATGACAGGTTTTTCATTCTCTAATTAACAATAACTTAATTTGATGGGATAATATCTGTTGTAAATATAAATTATAGTTTTACACAAATCAAGAAGCAATTTGTGAAGAAAAATTGAAAAATGTGTCAAAAATTACAGAAAATACAGAGTTCTAATATGTTCCATATTGATGACATCACACACAAATTTTTTATTATTTCTTTTTATCTTTTTTTTAACAAAATAAACGTGTTTTCTTCCATTTTTATTTCTCAAATAATAATAATAATATCTGTGCGCAGTAGAGGAGTTTTGGACCAGTATAGTACATGGTTGCTAGGTAACAGTTATGGAATTCCCTAGTTTGATGTCAAGATCTCCAACAAGGAAGTAAAATTTTAAACATAAAAAATACTCAAACTGGGGGATTTATTTATTTATTACTTTTTAAAATAAAATCTTAAATATAATGATGTTAACGGTGTTTAGTAAAATGAGTAGTGTAACCTGTCACAGGCACTAATAATTAACACGAGAGGCTTAACGTTGAATCCTCTTTTTTTAAAAACCAACATTCTGCACATCTTTTGGATTTATTTTTACCAACCCATGTAATGACGTAATACATTGTCACAGTCAGGTATGCACTCCACACACTGACATACAGCAGACCAGTACATTCCTGTAGCTGGACAATAGCTGGGGCTTTCGAGGCTAAATCCCTGTGTATCCCTCTTACTATGAGGAAAGCCAAACAAGGCATAAACCTGAATGACCCTCTAACTAGAACAAACACAAGCACATAAAATGCATTAGAAAAAAACCCCGCAAAACTCAAGAGAGAATCGATCCATGAAGCACACATGTGACCTTTTGGGGCTGGAATTTGACCTTTGTTTTGGGACTCATTAGGAGGAATGTGGTTTTGTGGTGATCACACATTTTACTCTAGATTGGCAGCTATAGAGACAGCAGGTTCAAATATTTTATAAAGGACTAATATTAAGCTATTTTCTGATCAATGTTATAATGTTGTTTCCTCATCAAAAACATACCTGAAGTCCTGTATTGTTTCCGTCACACATGTTTAACTGACTAACTCTGTATATTTAAACTCTCAAATGGAAAACACTCTGTTCCTCCTTTTGATGTCATGTGGTAATACCGGAGGTGTTCCACTGTGTTTTTAAACTACATACACATTCACTAGAGTCATTTGGATAATTTCAGCCCTGGAATTGACAATCTCTACTGAAGGTAAATGGTAGCTGTTAACATGAAATTACATAACATCACAGCTTTGTGTAGCTTTGATGTCGAGTGACTAATAATAAAGAATTACTCAAACATGTGTGAAAGAAGCATTTTTGATGAGGTAAAACATAGCTTAAAGCTGACTTTTTAGTGTTTTTAACCATTTTATAGTTGTTTCCCCTCCTCATTTACCTTCTCAAAGTTGCATTTGGAGTGATTCGTGCATATCAGCAGATCAATTCCTGTTTTCATACACGCCCACTTCTCTGTACTTACCTCGTTATCTAATTTTATTTTCATTAAGGGTGATTTGAAAAAAAAATTTACAGGAAGTGGAAGTGAGTCGAACAAATGACCTTAAGTAAGCCAATTCAGGCTCTAATATAAACCTTGCACATAGCTCTTACCACAGTATCCTGCTTGTTCAATTGTTCTATCATAAATGTCCATGTGTGGAAGCAGACTGTTTACAAATCTAGGCTCAAAGCAGTAGAACAATGTTTCATCTTTGTGATTTTGCTCGTGAAGTAAAATGTTTCATCTGCAGCTGCTATTACATGTTGAAGACGAGCATTTGCTTCATACATAAAAGAGAACAGAGGGGCAGCCTTTGTGAAAGAGGTGGTTTTGTCTCATCTAAATATCAGAGAGTGGGTGTCAAAACAGTGTGGAGTGTTTCAAAAAGGCCAGGTCTCATCACTGATATTACAAAGTATTTCTTACACACTGCCTTTAGTGGTTTTTAAATCATTGTTACTAAAAATTTCAAATAAAAGTGAGCTTCCAGCAAGCTTTCTTCACATGTACTGCAAATCATTGTAAGACAATAGACAATAGTAAGATAAAAGACAATAGTAAGACAGTGGTTGAATATTTTCCACTCAAATGTTAGAAACATGTCCTTTACTTAAATTAGTTACATTCAGAACAGGTTAATTTCTGCTCTGTGAATGGAACTTTTTAGTATTGATAACAGATCAAAAGAGTATTTAGATTCGATATTAGTTTTAGTATCGATTAGTATCTGACTTTTGCTAAAAATTGAATCATTTTAACAAATTTGATCAAAATGGAAATCAGCTAGAATAGATCAGTTGCCTGTGGCTATGTATTGACCAAAGAAGAAGAGTTATAGTGAGGTGTGGGTCCATTAGGCCTCGTGGATCACAGAGACATGTCAACAGGACCTGGAGGTTCATGGAGGCAGTGATGGGCTGTTGCCTTGATGTAGTAACTGTCAGGGAGTGATGGCCGGTCAATATCTAAGACTAAAGTGTCTGTGTGCAAGCACATAATATGAGTAACTTACCAGATGCCCTCCTGTTATCAAGAAGGTTGATACACCATACACCAAAAATTAAACAGTGTACTACAGGTCTCAACAAAAGGCTTGAAAATACAGTGGACTTAATTTGAAGGTGCATTATGTAACTTTTTGGTGGAGGATCTGCCATCTGCTTTTCTCAATGGAGATGTAATTGCCTTGTCTGAAATGTTTCACAGTTGCTGGTCAGATCTGTGGAGAGGCAACCCTGCTCACAGTCTGTTTTTATAGATATTTTTAAGCAATAAAGCCACTTGTAATTGAATAAATCTGTTTAATGTCATATTGTATTTGAAGCAGAGCAATGACATATCCACAGAAGGTGACGGACCCGTGAGCAAAAAGTTCCACAGTGCACTTTTAAAGAGTGGGCATTACACTTCTATGGGGTATTAATTGCTAACACATTCGATATTTAGATCACCATGTTACCTTTTTATTGTCTTGGAAATGCTATATTTGACAGAAACAATGCATTAACATGTTTAATAAGCTTCACTTTTGTTTTTGCCAGTCTGAGTCACCCTTCAGAGCACTATCACAACACAATTGCTGTGCATCTCGCTAGGTTGTACTGTATTGTTTTGTATCATGCTTTTGTATATTTATGGAAAACTGTCATGCAGGAGCAAGGGTGACCTAGCCTTGGGGGTGGAGCTTTGGATCATAGAGCTAATCATAACAAGGGTTTGAACAGGGCCTGGGTGAGATTGGTAGATTGCTCAAACATGCATAGTCTGTTATAACATGGTAGAAGTCTCCAAAAAGTCAATTTTGCATAATACTCCCTCTTAAAGCTTCAGTCCAAAGTAGAGTAAGGGTTAAAGTGCAGTCTGAACAGTAGTGGTGCAGGCCTCAGGTGTGCTGTGTTGGCAGTTTGGTGGAAATATAAATAGATTGTCCCATCTGATCAGTTCCTGCCCATCCAACCTCTGATCTACGACACTCCCCCCACTGCAGGTAGTTTGTCTCTGCTGCCAATGTGAGCACATCTTCTTTTATAGCCAGGCATGCATGCACATGCACAGGCGTTAAAGACCTATACAGATTTTGATTAATTTTTTATTTATTTTAACAACTCTTTTTACACAATATTGTAATTTTAAACACAAAATAAAAGCATTAGTTTACTGCAACATGTGGTCTGTAATTAATTCTAAAATCAAAAAGAAACTGTTCAGTAAAGGTCAAATTTTATCCAATTATATAATTTTTTCGGTACGGATACTTGCTTTAATGAGTATCTAGTTTTGATACTAGTTTTAGTTTCACCTAGTACCTGACTTTCAATACTTATGACAACCCTAACTTGAACACAGGAAGCTACAGAGCCATTATGTAAACCTGAACTCTAAGTAATGGGAAAATAACTGTAAATAACTGGAACTAGGCAATATGGAACACTTGCTGCACAAAATCACAAAAACATGGATGTCACAATATTGGCTGACACAAAAATTGATACTGCTAAAAAAATAAATATATCGCAACAACACAAAATTCTCCATGTTACAGAAGAGTTCTGTAAGAGTTCTGAAAGTAAGATTACTTATAAAGTTCTACATTAGACTTGGGTTGGTCTTGGTTTTGCCTTTGTTTTTATTTTGAATCAGCTTGACTACTACAGTAAATGAAGTCAGCATTTTCTGTTTTAAATTTAACTGTGTGATTGTGCCAAAAAACATATCGTTATCACATTACAAAACATTGTTCTTGAATATCACATCTTTTTTTCATATCATGCAGCCCCAGCCACAGTAATTAATTTCCACACACCACTGATCAAAAGTGAGTATCAAAGGATTCTACCCAGAATGAATAAATTACATGATATATGACGATATTATGTGTAGATATATTTTCACAAACCTTTTTTCTGACACTCAGCGACAGTCTTTTGGATAAAGTTCTGCACTTCTATGTACGTCTGGAGAAAGTTGTCCTGGAATTGGCGAGCCTGTTCTGTGCTCACCCCGAGGATCCCTGACAGACGCTCAGGACCTGCACCAAATAACACAGTGAATGAATCACTGGATTACATACAAACACAGTTTGTACTTAAGGTTCGGTGGCACTTCCATCATGGACTTTTGTTTACTTTAACTTAGTGGTTTAAACTATTACAGAAGATGATCTGCTTTTTAGGTCTCCGGGCATATTCAACTGTCAAGGCAAAAACAGAGAAGGTTGCAAAAGAGGAGAGGAAGGGTCAGCATTAGGGCAAAAAAGAAACCGTGATGTGGGAAGTCTGCAGAGTTTGTATTGTTCACTAAAGGTTAAGTGTGGGCCTGTTCACACAGCACATCGATTTAAACTGTGATGGCACGAAGGTCAAATCAGAGGGACTACCAGACGGGTGTGGGATGAGCAGGGGTGGGAAGTAACAAATACAAAAAACAAAAACAAATACTCAGAGCTTATTTCGGTAGTTGTGTTGTAATAGGATAAAATTCTAATCATTCCCTTTCATTGCTGTCACTGCTCTATGTGCTCCTCTATACATAAATATACAGAGCAGCACTGCTCCAATTGCTCATAATATATGCATATTGCATACAGTTTTGTAGAAAATACTAAAATCCTACTATATCCTACTACTTTTTTGCATGCATAGATTACTCATACTTCAGTACTCTCTCCATCATTGGCGAGGATCACACTCACATCAGCAGCAGAATCTAAATGTATGTGTCCTTCTGTCTCACAATATACTTGAGTTGTTTATAAGAAAAGTAAAGTGGGTTATGTCAGATATGGAGTTAAATCTAGCGCAAATTTCGCTGTCTATTAAGGCACAAAAATGGTCCTAAAGACTAAAGCCAACATTCCAACCACTTTGAAACCACATTGGCAGGTGCCCTTTGACCTTCATTATTGACACTTCGTATGTCTGGTCTTGAACCTCAGGCATTCAGTACTTATTATTTCGATCAGATTTTTTCTGTTGTTTTTTGTTTCATTTTTTTTCAGCCCAAAATGTCATTAGGTCATTGTGAAACAAAGCAACATTTGATTCAAGAACAAAGTATATACTTTGAGTCTTGTTTGCTGACCCACTTGTGAGCACAGTAGTGTGTGAGCTCGCCATGCCCCTCCTCCCTGCCCTGATTGTCTGTGGAGAAAGCTTCCTTTTAGTATTCAGTCTCCATGGAAACGCATGCTTCCATGAAGAGTGGTCTGTCTGTGACGACGAGGAGCACCTACAGTTCCTCCTCTCATGGCCCTCGTACCCTTTAGCCTACATTACTTCAGTCCCCGCCTCTTTTACTCTTAACCTACATACTCCATATTCTCCATGTACTCCCAGATATACACATATATCTGTGTTTCAGTGGCATCGCGAGGGTTAAATCCTGCCCTTTTGCTTTCTCCACAGGCACCTCAAGTATAGAGCATGTTTGAAATAAAAGTCTTTCAAATTCATTGTTGTGGATTATTGAGCTCTCCAGTCAATTTAAGCCGGCTGTATTAGTCTCCCGTCACCGTGCTACAGCTCCTGCTGAAACAGAACAGCTCAGCACACTGCTGTCAGCATGAGAGCATTGGATTGTGTGGAGTTCCTAAAAGCATCTTCACATGTCTATTTCAAAATTGAGTGCTCTGTGCAAACAGCAGGGTTTGGTTAATACAATAAAAACATGCTTTTAATGACGCTGGTAATTTAAAACATGTGAAATGGATCTCCTTTAACTCTTTCACTTAAATGTGCAACTCTATGTGAAATTCAATCACTGCACATATTTTCTTTAAAGAAATATTTCACACCCATTCTACCAAAACAACCACCTGGCACCTGCAGAAGTGCTAACAAAGAAAGACTGGCTTCCTCTTGGTTTGCCACAGCTGGTTCAAAGTGAATCTATTGTGCTGTCACTCACTGTGTCGGTCACATTGCTCACAGGGCTGTACATTTGAGTGCCTCAGTTTATGATCAAATTCTAACCCTCTATGAGCGTTATGGCCCAGTATGGCCCTTGGTTTATCATTATAATAATACAAGATATTGGTAAATAGCCCACATCACACACCACACATGTTCTTCATAGCCACAGAGTGTATAGGGCACATGACACATATCAACACATGTCCATAACCAGGGGAGAAAACAGTACTGCACAGTCTGTCAACAATGTAAGCCCCCAGATGGTGATTATGACACAGCTAGACTACATGGTACTGGATATCACAACTGTCCTAGAGCTTTGGTCATAATTTGAAGCTTTATATTGCTTTTAAGCTTCACTTGTGAGTTAACACAGTGATTGGTTAAATTGGCACTTCACCTAAACTGACCAGGTCAAACACAGAGCTGCATTATTTAGAAAAGCACAGAATCACTATGTGACAATCCCTGATCAGCAGGATCATAATGTGAGTTGGTATATTGCCAATTCCTGGACCACAGATATACCCAGATTGTCTAATCTGTGTGTGATCACTGAGAACATGGCTCATCTCACAGTCACAAGGTCTTTACTTATTCTTCTTCCTCTACCTTTCTCTCTATTTTTATCTGGCCAACCCCACCCCAGTCCACTTTATAGATTCATGAAATGAAACTCTATACACAAAAAGCAAGCCCACAGTTACTGAGCAGCTCAGCACAGGTGGAATATCTTCAATATGAACTGCATTATGGGTAAACTTTAAGATCATTCACATCAACGATTCATAGTTAAAGATGAACTGTTTAGTAGTTTTTAGTATATATATATATATATATATATATATATATATATATATATATATATATTTGTATCAGTCTCACCTGCACCATACACCACAGAGTAGACAATGCGTTTGGCACGTTCACGGTCCTCTGAGGACACCTCTGTCTCTTTTACCCCTTTCCTGGAGAATAACAGAGAGACAATTACACCCACAACAAACTGGGATCATTAATGACCACAAAAAAGATCATTTTCTCTGTAGCGCCAGTCATCAGTAGAGCATTCATCCTCTGAACCCACATTTAGTGGTTTGATACTGTGTGTGTAAAAAGCTGCTTATTAAGTGTTTTTTGAAAAGTGAATTTGTAACTGCAACAATATTTTGGCTTCATGTGAGATGCTTTCCAGGCCGGTTCAATACTTTTAGCATCTTTCCTGGATATTTGTGCCCTCCAGATCCTGAAAGTTCTCTAGTAAGAGGTGAGAGGAAAGAGCCAGGGGCTGCAGCAGAGGGTTAACACACACACAATTATGTAACATGACTTCAGACAGACACACATACAGACAGCACACAGACACATAGACACACAGACTCATAGACACACAGACACATAGACACACAGACACATAGGGCGCAAACAGGACGAGGAGTCAGGTCTAAACAAAGGCCTGTGGCGGTGCTGAGGGCCGACTGCCACCACAGATCAGCAATAAATGAACAACTTCAAGACTCAACTTTGCTCTACTTCACTTTTCAGTTAGTATCTATGAGACTTCCATCGTACTGTACATACATTTTAAAATATATGCGTAGGGGGAAAAGTTGTTGAGGCAATATGCATATGCCTACATTACCACAATTTCAAGTATTTTTTATCAACTAATATTTACTTTCTAATTAAGTTAAAACATGGCAGATTATACACAATGAGGGTGGCGTTGCCTCTATCGTTGACAGAATGGAAGCCAAATTAAGCCTGACTTTCACTGCCCCCTGCTGGAAAGGCAATATAATACATACAATGATTCAAAATAAGCATAAAGTTGAGTTTAAAATGTGTTACTACTGGAACATGAACTAATCCACAAGTGTAAGGAAAAGCAAATTGTAAAATACCAAAAAGCTGATCTTGAAATACAAGATTTAGACATAACTCTCTGGAAATAACATTTCCATTTTACAGCACGTGACTCCATTACATATGTTTTATTCATTTTTTTTCCTCTTGTAGATGATTACTGAGGTCAAGAGCTTAGAAAGGCAAAGATGAAGTAGAATTGACAATACAGAAAAAATGTATCTAAGAGGGACATTAGAAGAGAAAGTCCCAGCAGGGCTACAATTGCACCAGTTAATTTGTTTAAAGGTGAGAGCGAAATAATGGCGGGAGTCTATGTAAACCTCAGTGGAGGTGCTAATATTCTCTGTGCGACAGAATAATCTGTTTAACTGGGTGCCCTCTGCTCCACGCTTCACAGAGACAGATAACAGGAGCAAAGGAGCAGCTCTGAGCAGCTGGAAAACACCATCACAAAGAAAATAGGTTTTTATATTATTATCTCCATAAAAAATATCTGGAGTAAGGTTGTAATAAAATTTTAAACTTAATTTTGAAATTAATGAATAGACTAGTTACTTAATACTGATTCCGTTACCATAATGATAATAAAAAACTCATAATTTAGACAAAAAATTTGGTTTTTAACATACATACTTATTTTTATAGTACCATGTTACCTTATATCTATGTGATCCGTCAGTCATCCAGGTAGGTTTCATAGTGGTCCATGGGTGAATACGAGTCTATGTAGTCTTATACTAGTTCTGCTACAGCTCAAGATCATTCTAAGGAAAGGTTAATTTCTATCCTGTGAATGACTTTTGTTAGTAGTCAATACTTGCTCAAAAGTATCTAGTTTAGTATTGATTAGTATCTGATTCTTGATACTTTTGACAATTCTAATCTGGAGTATGACTAGAAAGACAGGAAGCAATACATTCAAAAGACTGGGGTTAATTGAGAAATCCAGATACATAACCCAGATACAAAAAAATGTTTGTGAGGTTAGATTTATATTTACTAACTACTACTTATATGACAGCTCTATGGAGTTTGTGGATTGGAAGATGGCACAGTTGTTATGGCAACAGGGTTATTAGTGATGAGGGCAAAGGAGGTAGCAGCGGAGGCCCTGTGGAGCCCTCACCTTGGCAATAACATCTGTGTGTGTGTGTGTGTGTGTGCGTGTTTATGTGTGTATGAGTGTGAGAGAGGGGCTACCATTGCGAGGCGAGCATACTGAAGACGTCCGCCCCGGGGTTGGTGAAAACGTGGAGCAACTCAGGGTCAGAGGAGAGGTGAGCCAACAGACGGAGCTCCACCTGGCAGAAGTCTGGGAAAACACAAGCCTCACATCAATCACACCTCTAATCATTCACATATGGGAGTGGACCTTTGGAGTCCACATTACGGATGTCAAAAGTATGAAAATCAGATACTAATCTACAATAAAACTAGTATTGAAACTAGATACTCATTTGAGCAGGTATCGATACTAAACAATTCACATTCACAGGACAGAAATTAACCTTTTCTTTATAGTTTAGGAATGATCTTGAGCTTTATTAGAGACTAGGAATTACCGAGATATAAAACCACATGGTATAATACAGAAAGTACTGCTATTCAATGTTGAAAATCACTTTCTTTTGCCTAAAGAAAGAGGTTATTCCTTAGTATTGTAATTGAGTTTGAAATTTTAATATTGTAACACTAGCTGACATCGAATCTCACAAAATTACCTCAAAGAGTTGGTGCTGTCTAAAAGTTTGTGCAATACTGACAATTATGAATTTCTTAAAATAATGATTGTAATGAAATGAAAAGGCAATACTAGCTCAATAAATCCTAAATGCGCACTTTTTTTTTATTCTATCCTCTAAAAAGTCACTTTATAAAAAACTGTTGGAGACAATTGCCCCAGACAAATATAGACAATCGATACTTTGCAGTGACATCAGGTTGGGGGCGTTCTACGTATAAGTATCTCTATTGGCAGAATGTTCAACAGTTACACACAATGAACACATTAGCAAACACACACAAAAAACTTTTAAGTCTGAAAACTCAACAAAAATACAAAATGGGTTTAAACAACTAATAATCAATACACATGTTCATGATCCTGTTTAGGTGCTTAATTTTCAACAAAAAAGGTGAGAGTGCTAATGCAGCTTGTGACTGTAATGTTATTTGAGCAGGACTTTTTAACAGCACAAATCAGATCACCTGCTGTAGTTCCAACCAAGGCAGCTCTTGCTGGTCAAATTGTGTTAAAATAAAGCTCAGATTAACTTGAATAACAGAGCTTCTATAACAGAATAGTGCTTTCAGTTCACACTCCAGAGAATGTTAATTACATCAACTGCAAAATATCAATAAATCAAACTTATACCCATCCACTATTCACTCATTTATATAGTCAGCTATGCAGATCTGTCTCCAAAACTCTGGACAGACAAAAGGGTAAATGTGAAAAAGATTTACAGTCACTGGCCGCACTGCGTTACATTTAAGTCCCGCTCCTCCAGACGTCTCTGCTCGGCTGCTTCCAAATCAAATTACAAGCCAACAAATGCAACAGCAGCAGAACAAAGGGGCACAAGTGTGAGCACTCTCCGAGCCCACATGAAGCAACTGCATGCAAGGTGTCTACGTGTTTAGACAATGAAGGACAGCTGACACTGGGCCTGGGCTTCAGAATCATATATATAAATGTATAAAGAAAGTGGAAGAAGATTTGGTATGGTTATTTCATGTACTACTGTGCCAAAAAGTGTTGAAGTGTTGACAAAAGTATGGAAAATCAGAAACTAGATTATCATTTGAATAATGTATCAATACTAAATAAGTCAACAGGACAGAAATGGACCTCTCCTAAATATATTTAGAATGATCTTGAGCTGTATTAGAACAAGTATGGGACCATATAGACTAGTATACGCCCATGGACCTCTATGGAACTTTTCTTTCTATATCTAGAAAACACTGATTTGAAATAAATTTGTACTTGATATTATGAAAATGTATTACAGCCTATTACTGTATTACAGCAACAATGATTTACAAAACTTCAAAACATGTGTCTTTGCTCTATGATGGAATTGTATATAATAATAATAATAATAATAATAATAATGCAAGGATAATCCACTATGTAAAACAAAGAAGTGGAAAGAATATACTGAGTGAGGGAGAGACTTTCTAAGAATATCCTACATCAATGTTTTATGAACCAGATCATATTTCCTCTAGTGAGTATGCAGCACAGGGGGGATATGTTTGAACAAGACAAATATGACAAATGTAAATAAACAATATTTGATACAGGTGTAAATCTGGACAAAATCACATCCAAATAATATATAAGGGTGAGATTACATTAAAATGAATTCGACTGCTACCTGTTATATAGCTTGGTTTGGAATTTTACTTGACTTAATTTTACTTTTTGCACATAACATGCACTTTAGTGTTATGAAATGTATACTTTGCTGACTGTGTATGTCTGATATTAAAAAACCCTATATTACACAAAACTGACTCTTGTTACAATGCTGTTACCTCAACAAAAACATAACTGGAGTTGTGTTTTGTTTCATTCACACATTTGAGTAAACCTTTATAATAAATCTGTCTATATCACCAAAGCTCAAAAAGCTCTGTTCCACCTTGTGATGTCATGCAATGGTAGTTTTCAGGTTAACAGCTACCTTTTACCTTTAGTACAGATTGGCAATTTCAAGTCTCAAATGATCCAAATGATTCTTGTGATGATGTATGGAGTTTAAAAACACAATGGCGACACCACATGACATCACAAGATAGAACAGAGTGGTTTTGGTTTGACAGAAGAACTCTCAAACCGAATATGCAGGGTTTGTGTGTTAAACGTGTGAATGAAACAAAACACAACTCCAAGAATGTTTGTGTTGAGGAAACAGCAATATAGTAGATAGAGCATAAAATACAGTAATATAGACCCTTTAAATTATAAAAAGACTGTTAATGCTGACAGCAGACTGGAAAAAAGAAGGACTAAACTGCTTTATTCATTTTTTTATATCATTTATATTTTTTATATCATTCGCCACAGCGCCCTGAAAACCGGACTTGCATGACAGTACTGGCTCAGAAAGTTATAAATGATAAGAGCTTAAGAGCAGACCTGTGCCTTGAGAAGATGAAGTGTCCCCAGGGGCTGTGGTTAGTGATTCAGGAAGTATAAATCGACAACTACCATGGACAAGAAAAAGTGCCACTAAAGGTGAACCCACACTGAGGGTTTGGAAGGAAAGGGTTGGCGGATTGCACAAGGGCCGTATGAGATTGGAACATTTTGCTATATGGCTCAGAATTAGCTATACTTTTTGTCAGATGAGACTTTGTTTGTCTGACAAAAGATTCTAAGTTTAAAACTGAAGACAGAATAACCTTTACCAAAGATGCCATATGCCTGTTAAGAACAGCGATACTGAGATTACTGCGATATTTAAATACACTTTTTGAGTCAAGTTATAATCCAAAAAATACATGCTTTAATTTACTCTTTCTCTGTTACTGCTGAGCTCTATATTCATAAGAATTTGTAGAATTTGTCCTTTCATTGAACTTTTGAGAGTTTAACCTTGAAATGCATAATCTAGCGTGTTGTTACAATTTGTTGACTTTTCAGATTGGATTTTCAGATATCATTGATAAACAACAATAAGAAAGTGGCACAAAGCAGTAGACCTGGCTTTAGAAAGGATATGGAAGTCCATTGAGATTGTCTACCGTCTCCTGTCCCCCAAAAGTAGTAGTTGAACCCCCACAGCAGTAGGCCTGGCTTTGGAAAGGATACAGGAGATCAGATGGTGTAGCCTCTTATGTAAGATCAGCACAGCCCACAATGGGCCAGCTCTGTCTGCACAGCATGGACCACAATAACGCTCTGACCTAACCTTTGTACAAATCCACTCAATGGGAAAAGTCAAAGTCAAATATTTTTCTTTTCGAATAAAGATATTTTTAAGAAACTAACACTTGATAGATTAGTTTAGTCATTGAGTTGATGGATTCTTAGACAAGCACAATTTGTATTAGTCGACTAATCATTTTATTTAGATGATAAAGATTTATATGGAACAAAAGCAGGAAGAAGTGAGTGAGTGAGCTGGTATTTTATTGGTATTTATATGTAAAAAGGCAGATGAAACTCATGATTCACAAATTTAATCTGTCTTTATATAAATGCATGCATGAACTCCCATATAAGTTATAGTCTTGTGAATGCAGTTTGAATAAGATATATTCAGATACACAATAGTTTTAAAAGCTTTTGTCATGTCCTGTTTTAAGTCGACTAATCGTTTGGCAGGACAAGTCTTTAGTCAACCAAGAGTTTCTTTAGTCAAGTACAACCCTATGTTTACATTGTACATACCATAAAATACAACAGCTTGTAAAAACCTGAATCTTATATCCCTACACCTAACCATAATGTCATTTAAAGTAACAGTCTCTATATTTCTGCTTCTAAGAAGTGAGTTACAAAATACTGTAGTTGCTGATTTGACAAGCTACCATTTACAGACTCCATACTTTCACTACAGAGGCATACAAGCTGAAATAATACTTATCAAAGCAGTGTTTCCAGTCTCTTAGGTTTAGTTAAAGACTAAAGGAAGTGCATGGCTGAGCAGCTGTGAAACTAAATCCTTTATAACAGAATTACATTTTGCTGTCATAGTTTCACTGGAGCTATTTGTACCTGCAGAGAGGAAGGTCCAACCCTCTTTAGGAATGAACATGGCTCGAGGATGGACAGTCACAACCTCCTCCTCCTTTCCTGAAAAAAACAAAAACAAAACAAAAAAACATACACTTTACAAACTATAAAGCAGGATGAAAAAAATACTACAGAGTAGCAGCCAAAAGTTTGGACACACAATCTGTATCTGTATACTGTATATAAATCTATATTATAGAGATGTTTTAAATGCATTGGATTAAAGCCATTTCAAGCCTGGACAGCATGAAGCAAAATGTATAGAAAAACGTAAAGAAAGAAAATATAAATAATATAAATATAATTAATATAAATATATATTTTATATTCAAATCCTTGCAGAAGCCACCCTTTCCTTTATTGACAGCTCTGCAAACTCTTGGCCTTCTATCATTGAGCTTCATGATTTGATGAATCACCTGAATGGTTTTAACTTCACAGCTGTGTCTTGTCAAGCCCAAGAAATGCCAAAAGTACAAATTAAAGGTCAAAGCAAAAGCTGACTATTTTTATTTATTTTTAAAATCTAAAACAAATCAACAATGCCTTCAGTGAGAATCTACAATGTAAATAGTCATGAAAATATATAGGGATCCCCTGATCTGGCTTTTTCAGTTCTGATACTGATTTTGATACAATAGCTGTAAGTATCTGCTGATTACCGATATCAACTGATAACAGCATTTGCCTAATATTACAACTAGTAATAAATTGTCTTATTACCTACATGAATTTATATGCCAAACAAAGGTATCGACTGAACCAATATTTGGAAGCAGATATTTGACCCATCAAATTTTACAGCATAGGCGCCGATATCAGATACCAGTTTTAGATCAGTGCATCCCTAGAAATTTATATTTTTTTTACAAAGTTATGTGCTGTTTTCTATGCAAGACCACTCAGATGTATTAGGTACACAGACGAAACTTTCTGACAGCACTATGGCAACAGTACACAAGCCAAAACAAATAATTAAGCTTTCATTTGCATAATTCCTTATTTAATCAAGAACATTCTGCATTCTTCCACAGAGACAAATAGCTTCATCCCCAAACTGATTTTGCATTTGTTTGCGTGATTAGGGCTAAATAGACAGACATCTAGGAAAAAAAACATTCACAACATTTACATTAAATCAGATAAATTAAATATAAATTATCAGTAATATAGAGGCAGATCCAATCAGATCATGCCCATCTTTGCTGCTGTGAAGTGCTGATCTTACTGAAGGGGAAATAATGGGGTCCATAACAGTGAACCATCACATCCCACGTCAGCATGATGCAAATACCCCTCAGTACAGAAGAGGGGGCAAATAAATACGTGCTGACAAAGGATCTGTGGCTGTGGGCTTGTACACATAGGTCACTGAGAACAGTTCACACTTCAAGACTACACTGTAATAAGTGATGGGGGCTGAGTCAGAGGGAAGAGGAGAAGAAGCAGGGAGAGGCTGGAGAGGGAGATTTGATGATGAGACAGAATACAATGCAGTGAGTTAACAATAAAAGGCTGTTTTAAAACACTAATAATAAATTAAAGGGCTCAAATTACGCTATTTTCTGATCTGTAATAATGTTGTTTCCTTATTATAAATATTGAGTTGTGTTTTGTTTCTTTCACATATGTTAAAACATAAATTCTGCATAGTTAGAATGTATCTTCTCTTGAACAGAAAACACTTTGTTCCACCTTGTGATAGCATGTGGTAATACAGTTAGTGCTCCACTGTATTTTTAAACTCCACACACCTTCACTAGAATCATAATTTGGAAGATTTGAGTCTTTGTCCATCTTTTTTGAACTGATTCATAACATCATGAGGTGGAACAGAGCATTTTGTTCTTTGGAGTTGTAGACATAAAACATTACACAATGGGCAAATGAAACAAAACACAACTCTGAGTATGTTTTTGAGGAGATGACAATATTATAACACGGCTTAGAGCTCATGATTCTCAATTTTGCGCAATACAGGCCCTTCAAAGTAGGGAGAGTTCCAACGGTGGTCATTTGGACACTGTTTTATCCAACTCTGAGTCAATTAGGAGTTTGGAGTTGAATATGGGTTCCTGGATGGGAGCCAAAAAGTCTTGATTGCAAAAACAGGGTCCAGATGACTACTGCTAAAACCCTCACTGAAACACTCCTGGACGAATGAGGGATTACACCATCTCGTTTCTAATAATCTGTTACATAGTCACAGCATATAACAATTATTATTATCCAAAAAAATAGTACAATGAAATTACTGAGATTCTTTGATATGTCAAGTAATGTTCAAAAGTGGGACACGCAACTGCAATATTTTAATCAACAGTGCTTCTATTTACAGTTTAAAAAATGGAGGTGTGTATTGAGGTTTTCTGTTGTATATTAAGCACTTTGGGAAAAAAATAATTTACCTCTAAAACTGACAAATCATTAATTCAGATGTTTTCCTACTTGTTATCTTTGCAAACCACTAACCTCCATAACAGAAACACTTGCCAACTCTGAAACAAACAGATTAAACAGGCTTTTGCAGATAGTCATTACTGTCACTTATTTGTATATGTGAAACGCCTGGGCTCCCTTCTTTTCATTCAGGGTTTGATCAGTTTAGCATTCAAGATGGAGCTGAGCATTTAATTTCTTCCTACAAAAGGTCAATATAACTTGTGGCTGTTAAAATTGTTGCATTGCTTTATATTGAGTAGAATGTAAAGCAATCCGCAAAGGGCACTTGTATTTCTTGTATTTATAGCGTTTGACGAAGAAGTGGCTTGGAAATTGTCTCGAAAAGGTTAGCTCATAACAAATAAATCATAAACATTAAGTGTAGGGACTGATGAAATATTGCAATCAACCAAGCCATATCCATAGTTGAGTTATAAAACTGAGGAACTATGTAGGGCAAATCTTGGGAATTTATATACTGAATTATTAACATGACACAAAAGGCTACAGATTTGTTTAAGCTGCATTATAAAATAGAAGAAACCTTAAAAATGATTTGTATGACTGGACCTCTTTTTTAGAATGGATAGCTTTAATTAGTTTTTATTTGTTACATTAGCTTAGATGTTAATTGCTATGGCTAATGCTTTGTTTCTTGCAGCAAGATTATTATTACACAGTGTTAAACACAATATAAACATTTTGAGACTAAGGAATAGGTTCGATACTCAATACCAATTCTGATACCACAATGATAATGCAATAGAATGTAATTTTTCTTTTATATTACCATGTGGTGTTATATCTGTGTAATCCCTCAGTCGTCTAGATTTGTTCCACAGTGGTCCATGGGTGTATACTAATCTATGTGGGCTTATACTGATACAGCTCAAGATCATTCCAAAGCTATCCAGGAAAGGTCTGTTTCTGTCTTGTGAACGTGACTTCTTTAATACCAAAAACTGCTCAATTAGTATTTAGTTTTGTTACTACATTTACTATCGATTTGTATCAGATTTTTTTTTTTTACTTTTGACAACCCGATATTACACCTACTGTTGGAAAGGTTTTACTACTACTACATTAAGTTAGCGTTTTAAACATCAGATCAAAACATAACTTGGTGCTTCCTAGTGCATCGCTTTATCATGTCCCAAGAAACCCACCCACACACCTGATCCACACCATTCATCATTTAAATTACCGTCAGGAGAGACTTTGTGGATGTTTACCTGCAATGTGCAGCTTCCTGGTCACTTGAAGAGGATGTCTTGGAAGAGCTTGGAAGTTCTGGTAAAAAAGGACAACTGTAATCAGGGCTTAAATTCAAATGATTTTCTCCATGGAGAAGTTATTGCTTTGTCTGGAATGCTGTGTGGTATTGAACCTTTCTAACCAGACCAAACCAGACCAAGTTACAGGTCAGACCTGTGGAGAGACAACTCCGCTCAGTCAGAATGCCTGTTTTTCTAAAAAACTGTTGTTAATTTTAATAAATGTACGGTAGAGCTCTTTGATGTCATACTGTGGAACATTCCAGGCAAAGTAATGACATATCCATAGAAATAAGCAGGACAGAACCCAACCAAAAAAGTTGCACCTTTAACTTCTCAGCCTGGAATGTTTTACAGTAAGGCATTAAACCTCTCTATCTCAATGAAGACAAGCAAGTCAAGGTACAGATCATTTCGGTGGAGAGGTGAGCCTGCTCACACAAAAATGCATGTTCTTAAAGGTATTTCTGAACAATAAAATCACCACTAATGAAACAAAAGCTGAATAGACTTTTAATGCCATACTGTGGAACATACCAAGCAAAGCAATAACATTTCCCTAAAAAAAGGTGGTGCCCTCCACCAGAAAAGTTACATAATCCACCTTTAAACAATATGTAATTTCTTGTCATCTTGATGAAATAAGTTCTTCCTCCAGCTACTTCAATTCAGTTCATTCCCTGTTTTATCTCCACTGCGACAAATTCTCCAGACATTTTAGAATCAATAATCAGTGCAGTCATTATGTAATTTTATATGGCTTTGTTCAAGTCATCCCAAGACTCTTCTCAAATTAATCTGTATCACCCTCAGAGCACAATTACTACATTTTTATTTTCCATCAAAAGAATAAATGTTACAAGAATAGTTTCAACACAAAAATGCTTTTACAGAAAAAAAAATTACCATAGCAAGCATCAAATTAAAGCTATAGTTGGATCAGCAACACTCTAACCACTAGTAATCCAACCCTTTAAACAGTCAATTTACCATGGTTTAGGGTTATTATAAGGGCAAGAGGGACAGATTATAAATATATGCCCTTGGTGTTAGTATTGCAGTTTCAAGCACTTCTTGTGGGATCAATATGGAAGCGTCCACTTTATGTAATGAGATGGCTGAGTGTACACAACCAAGACCTGGCTGTGATTAAAAAGAACATGTACTTTATTTGCTCAGGGCTATGTTTTCAGCTGTAAGGTGGCCTGCCTCACAGAGAGAAATCGACTCTGAGCTTTCACTGTCTATTTATTATTCACAAGAGGAGGATAAATGCAGGACTGCAGTAGAAGGGCGTGGACAGTGGAATCCATGGGGCGCATACAGAGGGAGGGGCCATAGGATACGTGACCCACAGCATGTGTCCAGGCCAGTGTGAAAGGTGCAATAACAACAGTGTGTGGAGTGTGGGCGACTGGCAGCTGATTCGCTGTGTCAGAGGTGAATGCTCAGCTTTACCCACAATGCACCATGCTGCAGTGACAATAGCATAAAATTAACTGTTGCACAAACAGCAGTTTCTCCTTTGCATGGATTCTGCAATAATGCTGAGTGGAAATAAAATATGTATTTAATAACCTGGCTATGATCAACAATTTACAGTCCTTATGCACTGCAACAAATGCTTTTGAGCAACTTTGGTGCTAAATGTAGAACTTACTTAACTATGCATATACTGTACGTATTTGTGTAATTAAATGTGTAAATACAACCAATATGTAGCTGTAATCACAAATAATTCAAACCTACACATAAATGTACAAAAATATCTGCAGCTTTACCTAAATCTTATTGTTTCAGTGAAGGCATTCACTTAACTGCAAATTACACCTGCAGTCTGTTTTACCTTGTGTCACTATATATTGTCTGTCTGTTGTCACAGAACATGCACAGGCTGCATGTAGGGCCTGAATCTGAGGTAATAAACTGAACAGGAGCAGATGTTCAGTAGGAAATACTGACAGCAAATGTCATTTGAGGGGCTCCACTAAACCTCAAGGGACGATGCTCTCATTCTACTTACATCCTGGTAGGGCTGGGTGTTTTTTTCTTTCAGTTCGAATAATAAATTGTTCTGCAAACTACACAAAACGGTTGGATATTGGGGAAATCTTTTATGAATTAATTTGACGTCACTGTTTTCAAAGCGGTCAGTGCTGTATGGCCCTGTGCTAAACTTTGGTCCCTGTGACTGCAGTGAGCCTTTCTTGCATTTTCAATTTCCAAAGCAAGAAAGAGGGGAAAAGAAAAATTTAATTTTCTTCCAAACAAAACCATTTGAACTTCAAATTTGATCAGCCAATTTTCTTTTTGTACAGCCCTACATCCTGGTAACATAAATGCCCAAGTGTTGTATACACATATACAGACAGATAGCCCTGCTATCTCCATTTTACTTTTATCCTCCTTTTCTCAGTCTTTGCCTATTTGCATGCTACTGGTATTTTGGATTTATACTTGTTTGTTTGTTTAATTATATTTAAATACTTGTTATTAATGCTAAATACTGTTTATGCTTTGCCTAATTATGCAAGTCAAGTCCATCAGCTTCAGTAAAATCACTTCAGTAAGTGCACCACACATAGTCTCAATGCATTTGTGGAAATTGAAGCAAATTAATCTGGTTCACCAGGGGACACGGAGTGTCTCTGAGGACCACTGGCTTGTTGAACAAATGGAGACATTTATGGAGACACTGAAGCTGAGCTGCTGTGGACTCAATCACTATGCAACAGTTTAACGACTTATCATAGAACAATGGCTAAATGATCCACAAATACACTGCACTGTCCAGTCACAATCAAGCACAGAAACATTAGAAATAGAAAGAAATAGAAATAGAAAATCAACTCTTCTATGAGCTATCTCTTACAAAACCAAGCAATGTACAATAGCTACTAGGGTTCTCAAAGCCTATACCTGGACAACTGAGTGATTACAGTGATATAACACTACATGATAATATAAAGGAAATCACATTCTATTGTCTTGCATTTGTTATTATCATCATGGTATCTGAATTGGTATTGAGTCTATTCCTTAGTATCAAAATTAAGTTTGAAATTTTAGTAGCCAGAGAGGCTTGACTGTTGCCAGTTACAAAGGCTTCTGTCACGATTTTAACTTATTTCCAATAGTTAAACAAACCTAGAATTATGTTAGTAATACAAGATTAAACCCTACAAATGCTGAACCAGACCTGAATGTAAAACTAAGTCAAAATGAAATGGCCTCTTCAAGTTGAGCTGGGACTTTTTGTGCGTAGTCAGTAGAGAACGCTTCAGTGAAGTGCTTAGATCAGAATTCAGAGGCTTTCTGTAAGTGCTAAACATTTAATGACTCAATGCAAAGCAGTGTTTGACAAACCATAAAGGCCTTTAGACTGTTGATAATGTACAAAGAAATAAATAACAATAAAAGCTCTAGTGAACTCTTATGTATTAAGTAAATCCCTCTAATACAATTAATTAATAGTGGAATGTTCATACAGTTCCAGAAAAAAACTATCATTTGGATACAAGTTATTTTAAATGTAAGTGTAATATAAATGTAATAGAACTGACTAACTTGACTGCAGGTACTCTTTGCCCATAAAAATAAGATGTGCAGTAATGCCTCTCTGTGCAGAGTGAGCTTCTCTTAAAATCAGCTCCAGTTTACGACAGTTTCATCACTTCCATTTAAGCTGTTTCACATCAGTGTGGCATTTGTGAGCCTAAGTTGTACACTAAATCTTTTCTCCCACAATCCTCATAGACAGATGCAACATCACAAGCTAATGGCTGTGGGCAATACAATACTTTCTTATTTTTGGGACATGCCAGCTGGAGACCGACAACTTTCCTGGAAATATTAGTAGCTCCAATGTCCAGTCTTAAGTGATAAAAAACAAACACTAAAACATGACCTTCAATTTAAATATCATGACTTGAATCTATGTTCCAAGTATACAAAGCATAAAATAAAAAAATACTCAGGCGAAGGGATTTTTGACCATCTCTGGAACGTGATGCCCCCTACAATCTACAAGTGAGATGAAAAAAGTCTACTATCCCCACATTGTTAGACCACTGGAGAAGCACTGGACCCTGACAGCTGACAGCACTGTGAACAACCGGGAATGGATGAGGTGATAAACATTTATAACCTTAATTACACAATATAAAGCAAACTTACAGAACAGAACTAAATGTAGGTAACGTAACATATTCTGGAAACTAAACTACACAAACATCCCACAAAGACAAATCCATCAGTTAAAAAGTAAGATTTTCTGCATAGTTCATTGGCTACTTTAAGTTCTGATTCTCATTAGAAATTCAGCACCATGGTTAGCTCCATTTTCAAAAGAAAACTACTTGTTCTTTTCATTTACTTACAGGATGTTTAGCTGAGATTCTCCCAGTCACTACACTTGTCTGGTACCATGTGGAGGAAATGTAATTCTAAAGAAAACAAAACAAAGCATTTCATTACTGAAAACAACAAAAACAAAACAATGAAGACTGAGAAATTGGTGATGTTGAGAAATTAAAACAAAACAACAGCTGTGGAGCTTGTGGCCATTATGACTTGTTTTTGTGGACTAAGAGACTCAAATTCTGAACAGTCTGTTTCAGTGCAGATTTATTTCTTGTCTTTTTACTATCAACATATTGAAACTAGTTTATGTAACTGACACAATAACCATAAAGCTGAACAATCCCAGCAAACATATTCTAAATGTATTTTATATTGTTAAAGCAAAAGCAATAAATAAAAGAACAGAACACTGAAGTCAGTTTCTTGGTTATTTATTCAACCTTCAGCTATGATACAGAAAAATAACAAAATATATACCCCACTAGTACAATGAAAAAGTACCATTGACCCCCCCAAAATCATTGTTCCATCTCTCATTTATTGAATATAATTGTATAGTATATTATAGTAGTATAGTAATTATCGTGACAGGCCTATCATCACAGAGGTAGAGAGGGCAGTCTTTTTTGCAGCCCTGAGTGAGCCCAGACAAACACAAGCTGCTGACAGTTTATTTTCTGCCAAGTTAGTAAAAGTTAACTGCTTCAGACACAGACCCATAAAGCATCTGTGTGAATGTTGTGTGAATTTTGAATATTTTGCCACCACAATAAATATATCAGTGTTTGAAAATTACAAAAAGTTGTTGCTGTGTTTTGTTGATATGGTTAACAGTTAATAGTTCAGTTATTAGTATGTAAGTGTGTCACCTTAGTTGTCATGCATGAAAGAATTCCATCAACAAACGTGGACTTGATTTTGTGGATCTGAAAAAACAATACAGATTTAATTTAATGGAACAACTCTTAATTACAACACTACTTAAGCAACCACAAACTGAACAAATAAAGCACCTGTCGATACTCCAGAATGATTTTCGGAAGAGGGTGAAGATCCTGGAGTTGTAATAGCTGTTGGTAAAAAATAACGGATAGTAAAAGTCACTGTAGGCCATTGTGTTACGTTTAATTATGTAAGTTACACATTGCACTCCAATGAATGCATTTAAAAAGTCATACTGCAGCTTCTGATGTAGACTGCTGTTTGTTGATGGTTTTGGGAAGCTTCTTATTTTCACATCGCTCATGGAGACGTAGTTTCTCAAAAAGAACCTACAAGAATATGAACATGAGTGAATAATACACAGAACACTTATACAAGCCTGTGGAAGTGAAGATCATTGTTATTATAGGCAATACACCAGGGTTAAGTACACTGAAGGGTTGTCACGATACTAACATTTTTAACAAAATTTTAATTCTAAGGAGGCTTGATACTAAATACTGATTCAGTATCACGATGATAATTAAAAACACTCCTTCAGACAATAGAATGACATTTCATCTTAAAGCAAAATACTTTACTTTATCTGTGTAATCCCTTAATCATCCAGGTAAATTCCACAGTGGTTCATGGGTGTATACTAATCTATGCGGTATTTTACTTGTACAGATACAGCTCAAGATCATTCTAAAGCTATTCACAAAAGGTTAATTTCTGTCCTGTGAATAGATACTTGTTCAAGTTTCAACAGATTTTTTATACTTTTGATAACCCTAGTACACGAGGTTGGTCTGACAACAAGTGGCAATAGGTGCATAACTATATTTCATCAAATGAGAAATACTAGGCCATGTAAAAACACTTCGACACTCATCAATTTCTGCATTTCAAAGAATACCATGTGACCTGATGAATACAGTACATACAGTTCGTAGCTGAGTGCTGCTTGTGAGCAAGAACATCTGTCCAGCTGCTTTGTGAGCCTCCTGCTCCAACTGCTTCATCTTTGTCTGCAACAGAAATAGTCAAGTGCAGGTACTTCAGGTCAGTAATTTCTAAATTATTTAGAAATTCATCTGGTCTGCAACAGGACACATTTGGATCATCCCAGCAGAAAAGCACATAAAACACAACAGGGAAAGGAGGAAAAGACTGTTAAAGAGCCCATATAACACAATTTTCTAATCTCTTACAAAGTTGTTTCCTAATTATAAACACACCCGTAACTGTGTTTTGTTTCATTCACACATGTTTAGCAGCACACAAACCCTGTGTATTTAAGATGAGTTCTTCTTTCAAACACACTCTGTTCAACCTTTTGATGTCATATGATAATACAGAAAGTGCTTCTGTGTGTTTTTAAATTCCATACACCTTCATTAGAATCATTTGGATAATTTCAGCCCTGAATTTGCCAATCTCTACCGAAGTGAAGGTAAAAGGAAGCTGTTAACTTGAAAAATACCACTTCACGACATCACATCAAGTTGGAACAGAGCATTTTGAGCTTTGTAGATGAAGACAGACTAATAATAAAGGGTTACACAAACATGTGTGAATGAAACAAAATATAACTGTAGGTATGTTTTTAGGAGGTAACAACATTATAACATGGCTTAAAGCTCACAAGAGTCAATATTGTGTAATATAGGACCTTTAATGAGTTGAAAGAAAAAATCTGTGAGCTAGATGACAGTGAATGTGAAGTGAGAAAATAAAGACAGAGCAGGAGGTTACCAAGGTAAAGGTGAGAGCACTTGACAACATATTAGAAGCTTTAAGGACATGCTTGAGAGGCTGAAAGTCCCAGAGCAACACATCAAATGATGAGAATGACAATTAAGAACTAGACAAAGTGCAGCAGCAGAGATTCAGCCAAGAGAGGAGCTTCTTTGTGTAGATGATGAGAAAAAAAAACTCTCTCTATATATATATATTTATATATATAATTTTCATTAACATCATTATCAGTAACATTGAATACTTCAGCGGTATAGCCAATCAATACAATAAAAAACAATAAAGACAGTTGGGTTGAATAATGAAAGTGAAAGCAAGAATAAATAAATCAAGGAACCTGAAATGATTTCAGGTCTTATCAATGGCCATATTATTTCAAATTCAGAATAATTTTTATTATGACATATGAAAAATTGTCTCATTCTCATTGCTCTTGGCCTAAAGCTAGCTCCAGACGGTCTCATCAATACTGAATGATTGGCCTAGTCAGAATAGCATTAAGAGTTGTGTAAATTGTAGTTGGGTGACAATAACAAAGGCTGTTAGTTTAGTTATAGAAAAAAATCCAAAACAAATACGATAAGAAGAAATGTAACTTCAAATGCAACAGAGCATATAACCAGAATTAATGTAAGCTTTTTGTTTGTAGGTTGACAGTGATCCTCCCTTCTGCAGCACATTGTCTACAAAAGACAGGCTCCCCTTTCTATAAATAGCCTAGACTCCACACAGGGATTACAACAAGCCCCCGCTGTTACTAGCACCACTTCTGAGGCTGAGCTGTTACCATCAGAACCCAAAAGCATACAGCAGTGTGTCGAAAGCATGTGTGCAGTCTGGAGTCAACAGAATTAATTTAGTTTAAATGTAAAGGGGACAGCTCCTCTGAGACCACCAACCACATCAATAATGCTAAAGCAAGTGAAAATCTGACAGGTTGCAATACAGCTAAGTGTTTCTTTTTTCAGTTTTATACTTTGCAGGTCATATCATCAACATTCCCTGGTGTGTGATGCTAACTGTGGGCACTGCTCTCTCTCTCTTTAACACTGTCTGAACACAATTGAACTGACATAGCTGGAACTACAATAGGTAAGATTTGTGCAGTTAAAAAAGTCTTTCTCAAAATAAAATTACAGTCACAAGTTAGCTAGCATTAGCCAATAGTTTTTCAGTTAGTCTCTCACCTTTTTGAACATCAAACAACGTGACCCTGAAGGCTTGTATTGATCACACACTCACACACTGAATAGGAGTTGTTTTGTTTTTTTTACATCTATTTTGTATTTTTCTTTTTTAAATGCCATGGGTGTGCATTATGTAGCCACTGTAATTGCTGAACATTCCACCATAGACATACATGCAGAACACCCCCAGCGTGATATCACTGCAAATTGTACAATTTTACTATTTAAAATCTTTGTGTAAAAAATATAGTAAGAATGGCACGGCACCTGCAGCATTAGTTTTTAGTGACCAGTTTTTCAAGTAATTAAGTTTGGTTTGTGTTCCCTTACCCCCAGCAGGTCAGAAGTTCTTCTAAGAGCCTCTTTGTCAACGTGGATGTGACAGACTTCCATGACTAAAACAGTGTGTGACAATGATGTTTTGTATGTTTGTCAAAAAGTATATGAAATGTGGAAAGATACAGATTCGCCACCTGCAAGCACTGGAATCATTTTCAACTCCATTTCTGAGTAAAGCCTCCAAAGCCCCTGACTCTAAGCACACAAAGATATGCAAGTCAGGATAATACGTTAATTCAACAATAACAAAATCCTGCAAAAAAAAAACCAAAACATTACAACTGAATCAATATTGCAGCAAAACACAGTCATAAAACTGCATTTAGATATTTTCACAAATCATATAGCCCAACTTTAACACTGTTACCTGAAGTTTTGAACATAACTCTCTGTTCAGTTTGTAGAGAGAATAGAGACCAGTGATGATTTGTGAAACCTGTGAATGAGTATAAATGTGTAAGAACTGAAGTTTAAAGCAGTGTCAATAGCAAGATCTTTTGCATGAATGCAACTGCAGACTGTGTGCAAATAAGTGTGCCTAAAACACAATGTCTTTGACCTTCTTGCTCCCCAGGGCTGGTGTTGTGTGGGGATATCTGCAGTGTTTATTGAGAAGATCCTGGAAGGAAGTGGCTGGATCTGTGGGGTCCAACAGCCAGCCTGAGAGCTGGGGATCCTGGATTTGACACCCTTCAACTAAAAAGGACATTCAAAATGATTAGCAGTCTAGGCCTCATATTTTTTCTAGCACAAGCAGTTTCAGCAGCATCCAAATTATTATTACTGTTTGAATATACAGTAGATGATTATTGTTATCATACAGACTCTGTATAAGTACATAACAGTCTACGGCACAGGTGTCAAACATAAGGCCCAGGGGCCAGACTCAGCCCTCCAAGACCTTTAATCTGGCCCTCGGCTGATTTTCTACTAAAATATTTTAATTATATTTTCTATTAAAATATAGGTAATTTTCTGCGGTGCTTAGCATAGCAGTGTCTCCAGTGCCTCTGTACGTGGCCCCTCCCATCAGAGCAGCACAAATGAAGACTTGTCTCTTTCCAAATGCTCTTAAAGGACGATCGTTTTGACTGTTGACCGTGACACCCTCATCAGCAAAATGTCCAACATGAGAAAAGTGGAGCCGAGTGCAGGATTTTACAAGAAAAATTGACTTATTCCTGTTTACATACAAGTTATTTTAAAAACGTTGTGCTGAAATTGCATTTTTCTTAAAGTTTCAGGTTGTTCATAATATTATAATATTTTGTAAAAGAAAGAGTTCATCAATTAAAAAAAGATTTCTGTAATAGATTTGTGTTTCTCTGCTCAAATATTTGAACTTATTGCTATTTTTGGGGTATATATGCCATGAGTTTTCTGATCCGGCCCCTTTGGGATCAAAGTAAGTTGGATACGGCCCCCGGACCAAAATGAGTTTGACACCCCTGGTCTACGGTCATGTGTCATGCCTTGTTTCCAGGTGAGCTCCCTTTTGTAAAGCTGCAGAAGGATGTGGAGCACATCCTTGGCTTTGTAGCACACTACCAGTTGAGAAGCTGAAAACACTTGTAGCAGCAAATCTCTGTGGGAGAGAGGGGCAAGAAATCATGTTTGGAGTCTAAACTATAACTACAAAAATATAGAAATAATCTGTGCAAACTATACAGACATTACTTTGTAAACAGTTCCTGGAGGTGGTGTGTGGGCCTCTGGGCCCAGGCAGGTGCATGCTCTAGTTTTAAGTACACCAGAGTGTCATTTGGCCCTAGGGTCTCCAATACTGTGTCCAGGTCAGCCTTGATGAGCAGGAGAAGGCCACACACAGGAGGGGTCTGCTTCTTTATCAAGAATCACACAGATGTTATTCTAAGCAGCCACTAAAGCTCAGGGCAACATAAATCCTCATGCAAGGCCTTGAATGATGAAACGGTCACTTATTAACTAGATGATGGTTCATATCTCAGTCTTGCCAGTTAATGCTGGCAAAGTGTCTATGAGCAAGACACTTCTCACACAAGTGTGTAGATTGAACAAATTAAGGACTTGAGTCAAATGACATGAGTTGAGAGAGAGTGTTTAAGGAGGCTGGACAAAAATATATACAATATACATTTGTAAACTATAAAAAGCTACTACTTGCTGTTTTTAGCAAAGTCAAAGAGCCTCCTTTACTTACAGAACCTACCTCCTCTGAATCCAGTTGAGTGGTCCCATCGTAGAACACCATTGTAAGCACCAGGACCTCTGATTGCTGTGCTTTCTTCACAATAGACTCCATATCCCCTTGGCTTATTCTGGTTGCATCTGTCACTCTTGGGTCAGATGTCAGACTTGATGTCAGACCTGGTTTGGATTTGCTTTGGTTTCTGAGCTGGTTATGATTAGGACCTGTTTGAAACATTTCTGGATGCTTTCTAGGTTGAGTATTGTATTTAGATTGCTTAGGTGGTGAACAAGTGGCAGAATGAGAGCTGTGTTTAAGTTCTTCATTGCATTTTTCATTATGGAGACTTGTAGTTTTACAGCAATTTGTTTTTTTTCTTACATCTCTTTTCTGCTCTTGAGAGGATTGAGGTGGTTCCCACTTTGGGGTACGTTTTGTAGAACCAGAGTTTGGCAAAATGTGATTTTCTGATTGTGGCTGTGGGGGTTCATACTTCCTTTTCAGAGTAAAAGAAGGTTTCAGTGGTGGTTGATGCAGCAAGTTAGCTGTAATATGAAGTAAGCTGGAGCATTCATTTTGTGCCATAAAAGGTGAAATGAAACAATGTGGGGAAGACTTCCTCTCTTGTACAATGTCCTTTTGAACTTCACATGAATCCTGAAAAGAGATTAAAAAAAGAAACAATGTTAAAAAATACTAGTTCCAGTCTTATTTGAGTGTATGGTTTCATCAGTTTTATTGTTTGCTGTTTTATATTGTAATGTCTGTACTCATAAAAAATAAGGGTCATCCTCAATGATATTTCAGTATTAAATGAAGCTAAACAGAAAAGAAATTAAGAAATATAAATGCACAAATTAAGCATATCTGAAGCCAAGACAGACTATAAACATTATGAATAATCCACAAGAACATTTGATATTGATATTAAACAAAATGCTACATAAATGAATGGTTTCATAATAGCATGACATGGAGGACAAGGCTGCCCGCCCCCCAAAGTGGAAATAAAACTTTGTGTGTATTATTTAGAAAAAGCAAAACAATGACAATGTATTTATTTTATATCTTTTCTAAGAAAAGAAAAACATAAGAGAGTGAAAACAACATCCTCAGCCCCAGGTAACAATTGAATTGTGCATAATTTCCATTATTTATAACTCCAAACTCCACACAAAATTTGAACAGAACAGTACAGTCAGTGTATTCGCTATATGTGACTCGTGCTGCATTCAGTATGCACAGATTCAAGTGGCTGTCAGCACTAGACACTGCAGGAAGGAGTTCCCTTGGGTGCACCTCCCACATTTCACTGTAAACACAAGCCTTTTTCTTGCTGACATAGTCATGAACCCCCCCAGGGTGCTGTGCTGCAGGATATAGATAGAAAATCAAGGCAGGCCATGGCTGATAGCCCAGTGCTGGTCATAGCACTGTGGGTGAGGGATGGATACTGCTGCTGATTCTAGTGATCCAGTGAAGATCAACTCCAAAATGTCTTCTTTACATCCTTCTTTAACTCTGCAACTACTTTATGGCATCCCATCTTCCATGCAGCAATGTATATCTGGCTACACAACCAACATGCTGGCTTAGTTTGCTGGGTACTTTTGTGGCTTTATGACTCAGCAGGGAGCTGTCCCAGGGAGCAGTGTGTTAACACACTGAAGCAAAAAATATCCAAAATATATATTGTATATATATTGTATGCATACATGTGTGGTGGATGGTCATATCACACCTCAATTAACAAACCATAACTTACTGGTTATAAATGCTAAAGCTCATAACATCAGTGCAATTATTTAAATGTACCTGCAGGTCTAACAGATATGGAAGTGGTTCTTCTGGAGCAGCTGCATTCCCACCAGGACAGTTTGAATCCTCTGCAAAAAGGAAATGTTTGACCAAAATGATTTAATACAGGTCTTGTCCCTGAGCCCTTGAGTAAAACAAATATATGAACATCAGGTGGTTATATATGAAATGCACCATCTCAACAGACCAATGCAGCACTTCAACAGACCATGCAACTTGTTAGAGGTTACTCAGCACATTTACGAAGGCTAAGACGTGACTAAGACCATGACTGCTGAGCCTGTAACACTAAACATTACTCTGCAGATTATCTGCTTTGTCTGGTCATCTCCTCTCGTGCAGAGTGGGAAAAGATTACAGAACAAGAGCAAGCTGAAATTATATCATATAAATCACAATTCCTCCGGTTTGGCCAAATGACAAAAAGAATGATTGTATATTGACCATTTTAATCCCACATTTTTACGGTGACTGCACCTTCTTAATCTAATAGCGTCCTCTGGTGGTGAATGATGCCAAATGCACGCAGTGAGTTCATAAACTATTTAGATATGTTACTGTATATTATATAAATGTATATAAATTAAACAAAAAATATTTACCTGAACGTAAGGTCTCACTTTGGTTGTTTATAGAAGGTGTCTGCAGTTTTGTGTCCCCTTTGGTAAAAACTTCAACATTATTGTCACTATCGATGGATTTGCACTGTTTGTCATCTGATACATCTGCTTCCTTCACAGTTGCCACTTCTTTCGCCTCCTTCAGATCAATGGCCTCTCCTGTGTGTGAATTAGTGCTAAGCAAGAGGACACTTCTTGAATCACTTTGTATGTCTGATGTTTTAATTATGTCACAGCATTCAGGTAGGTTACAACTTCCCTTTAAGTTTTTAGTTTCTGGTAATGATGGCGAAATCCTTTCTTCACACGGAGCTGGTTGCATAGTGCTTGTGTTGTTGTCACAGCATTCTTGTTCTTCATTTCGAACTTGAGAAATATCTTCAAGGGCATCATGCCTTCTTAAAAACATTTGATTGGTAAGGTGCAATCCACATTTCGATTCCTTTTCAAGAGCCAGATTTAATCTGATTGGTTTAGTTGCTTCAGCGCAAGGCACAGGCAAATCTCGTGGTGAGATATTTTCTGTTGTAAATATTAGGTCTTCGTTCCTGTCTTTATGACGTGGTGTCTTTGGGAATGGGAGCAGTTCATTAGGACTCTCTGGAGGAAATGTAATGGTAAAAGGTATTTCACCAGAGCTATGAGAAAGAGAAAATATAAAACAAGCATTAATCATCATGCAATATATTTTGTGCATGAGTGTATCAGGAAATCCTGGCCCTAGGTTGGTCCTTTCTATCTGTTCACTTTAAATCTACTATCTGTAATTGACCTGGCTGACCTGGCCATGTTGCATTCTTACATACTACTACTCTAGATGCTATTTGCGTTCCCAGCTTTGCCCTGGCAGAAGACCGGAGAGCACAGGTGAGCCTGAATAGGCCTGGTGCGTGAAAAGATTTCATATCTGCGATCTACTGGTAAAAACATAAAATAAACTCACAGATGTAGCTTTAAGACTTTGCATAGTAAAGGGGCTTAAAAATTTCGTCTCAATTTTATACATACTTTTTCCAAGATAAAGCTCGTTTGGAGAGATTTTCTGGAGTTTGCAGAGACAGAGTGTATCTGTCAGGTAGAAATAAACTAGGGTCCCACCCATCACACTGAGACACAGCTTGGCTTGACTGAAGTGGAGGTGTCTCCAAGTATCTCCCCTCAGAAAACCAGTGTGAGAGAAAATCATGGCATTGCCTTTGATTTGTTTGGAGCGAGGAGTCCCAGATAAAGGAACATGTGTCCTGGGACGAGCACAAATCAAGTGTTTGTGAGGACTGACTGTAAGATGGGGTCACAGAGTTCTGTGACTGGGACCTATAGCATAACAAGAACACACTGAAGCTTTAATTTGATTCTAAACCAGTAAATATACTAGAGACAATTCTAGAAACTAAACAGACTCTCACACTTACAGGGAATTCCTTTCCTGCTCTTGACTTGTGCAGCTTTGAGACGACTCCCACTTCCTGTCATATTGCCCATTTTCCCCTGACAAAGAATTTAAGACAAAATTAAGGACATTAGGGACAATGTCTATCCAAAACTATAATTCGAAATCTACTATCAACACTGATCAAATTCCTGTGTGGTTGTCCATGAAAATTGTTTGCAAACTTTATTACATAATTACAAGTACAAGGTACAATTCATTCATTTCAGTCTTGCAGTCTCCCCCATAGATTAAAACGACCTGGCCTATATTGGCATAACACAATTTGACTTTGTTGCTCATTGTATTAACATCAATTTTGAGATTAAAAATGGGAAGTAAGTGACACATGCTTCACAAATTGAGGAGATTAAATAATATAAATAAAAATATGTGACACGATCTTAACAAAATCTATGGGAAATACTGCACTTTTTTAGTTCTTTCGCCCGTTTTGTACCCTGACTCACAAAGATGATTGTGTTTGGAGTTTTGCCTGGTCACATGTCTCCTTTGCGCCTGAAGAGCTTGCAAAATCCTCTGAGCCGCTAAAGACAGCGGGCCTGAATACAACCTACAGTCAGACCTCTCCTTCACATGCCACATGAGAACTGTCCCTGTTTTCAGTGTTCTGTCAAAACACAACAAGTATAGTTAGTTTATTCCATTCTGTATCTACAAATACTACACAAGGATCATCAAATACAGGATGATTCAGCAAACATTTCATCTGAAATGGCAATAGTCATTTATTTCTTTATAATCAACAGGACAAAACACAGCATTTTAGAATTGTTACATATACTGGATTAATCAAGTCAAAACAAAGAGCATTATGAACTTGAACATAGTCATTCAAAACTAAATATTTGCTAGTCTTTTGCGGACATTTTGGTCTCTAGGTCCTCCACTACTTTCTGTAGTATTCGAGCATCTAAGTGGAAGTAGATGTACAGCTCCCTCTCCCGCCTCAGAAGTCTGCTGCGGTCCAGCTGTAAGCGTTTGGATTTGACCTCACTCATGATTTCCTGCATCACCTGCTGCAGACTCTCCAACTGGGACTCAGCCTCCAGGAGCTTTGTGCTCAGTTCCTATAATAGAAATATATGGAAACAAAGATCTGAGACAAATGGAAACAATACAGAAAGTAACACAAAGGAAAAAATAATTATTACAATCTCTGATGTAATTTCATACCATAAAAAGAGACTAATATGCAGCACAGGTTAAGTGTCTTGCCCAAGGGAACAAAGCACAATGCACTGGTGTGAGCTGATCAAACCTCCCATTTTCATTTTGGTTTTAGAAGCATGCTCTCATCATGGCCCCAAAATTTATATAACACAGATTTCTACACTTTTTACAAACCCGGTGGATCAAACTATGACAAGGATTGAAAGAAAAGCCTTTAAGTTGTGAACATATTCAAATTAGTGCTGGGCAACCATGGATTCCTTTAACATGGATTAATGACATGCTGCACATAATTAAAACAATATGTCTTTTATTGGCTCTTAAATAAATCTTTAACCACCCTCTTGGCCCTGTATTGCGGCATTCTGATTTGATCATATGTCAGGGACTTGGGGTCAACTGATTTTAAAATGAAGTTCAAAGATCAAATAAGAACAACTATATTATTTAGTTTAAAAAAAAAAAAAATATTTATGTCACATTAAGTAACAAGCCAAAAGCTTCTTAACATGCCCAGCCCTAATTCAAATACATAAGTATGTGAAATGGCATTAATGCTTGACACCCTTGCGTACACCACTTTCTTGATAATATGTGCTTCTGTCCCCTCTCTCCCCTGGCACATGCTACGAAAGGACTCACCATTGATGGTTGCTTTCTAAACCCATTGAAGGGTTTCCCTTGTGTGTGTATGCGTGTGTGTGCAGAGAGAAACACCCACCTGTGCGTTTGGACAGAGCTGCGGCTGGTCTGAGGCCAGTGGACGTACCTGAGGCCCTAAGACCAGCTGCTGGAGCTCTGTGTACATGGCCCTACGCAGCACATCACAGTCGCCATGGAGACGGGCTCCTGTGTATAACTGCTCACGACCGGCTCCAGCCAAGGCATCTTGAGTTATCTGGAGATCTGCGGACAGGCTCTGGGCGGCCTGGTTTAAGGCTTCGTATGTTCGAAAGGGCTCAGAGCAACTACTGTTTGAGCTATGGTCAAGAATCTGGAGTAATCTGGTAAGAGAAGTTAAATGTTCTTAAACAATCACATACATACATTTATAAATTCATTTATGTAAGCAATAGCATACATCAGTCAAATGTTTGGACAGGCTTTTTCATTTATGTTTCTTCTTTACTTACATGATTGTTTAGATTATAGATTGTCACTGCAGGAATCAAATATATGAATGAATGAGCACGTGGAATGTAGCAAACGCAAACTCAAAACTTGTTCTAGGTTTTTAAATGTAAAATCCAAATCTGTTTTGATCACCGTTTTGTACTTTTGGCATTTCTTGGACCTGACAAAGCACACAGGTGAAGTGAAAAGCATTTCAGGAGATTTCATCATGAAGCTAATTGAGAGAAGGCCAAAGAGCGGCAAAGCAAAGAGTGGCTACTTTGACTATTTGAATACAAAATCTATAAAAAGAAATAAAGAAAAAAAATCAATGCATATATCTTACAACATATTTTTGCTGTCTTCCGCATGTATATAAAATGTAGAAGGTAGTAAACAAAGAGAAAACTAAGAAAAAAATCATTGAATGAGATGGTGTGTCCAAACTTTTGACTGGTGGTGCATATAATATTTGATTCCTACCTGCTAAATGCTACATCCTTGCTGCTGATAATAGGATTTGGTCTGGGGTTGATGGTCAGGTTGGGGTGAGCTAGTGTATCAATTCTGAGTGACGCTGCTTCACTGTCATTCACCAGTTTGCAGAAGACATCTTCTAACAGCTTCAAGCAAGTTTTCCATCTTCTCAACTCCATCTCCTGAGCCAAGTGCAGAAGATCAAATGATGCCTTTTGACGGAGGAGGTAGTCACGCACCTGGAGAGCATCAGAACAAAGGGGGTGTAGGATTATGCACAGGAAAATTTTAAGCAAACAGAAAAAATATAAGTTGAAATGTAAGCCAAGAGGGTCTGGCTGCAGTGCTCTACCTACAGTACAATCATCTCCGACACAGGTTCAATAAGAATGCACTTTCACTAACACCCCCCAGGCCATTTTTGATTATTTTATTCATTTAAGATTATGTGCGTATAAGGTGATGATAAAGGCTTATTTCAAAAGTTTTTTTATTATTAGAGCATAGCATGTAAACAATTGTACCTGTTGTTATAAACAAATTACGGTAAAAACAAATCTGCATTGAATTAGTTTGTGTTGTTTCTGGACTAAATGCACTGGGTTGTTAGAGGTTTATCCATAATTTCAGAAATGTAAAATCAGGTATTAAACTAATAACTACAAAAATATACAGTGTTTTAAAAAATCTATAACATACAGTCCCTGACAAAAGTCTTGTCACTTATCCATTTTGTAGAAACAAAAGCTTATAACCTTATGACTTTAAATGTTTCGATTGGTTTTAGAAATGTCTCATATGAAAGCTAAAACCCTCCCAAATTATGTTCAATATACTAAAATAAATTTGCTTCACTGAAGAAAGATTGATAATTTAATGAACACAGAAAGGTCAGATTTTGGCAAGACAAAAGTCTTGTTGCCTTGTCATATGATTCACCCAATCCTAGATTACAGCCTCACCTGTGATCAGTTACTGATCAATCAATTAGTGGGTGTGTATAAAAAGAACCCCAGCACACCAGACCTTCACATCAACTGCAACTTGACCTCTGACAACATGCCTAAGATCCACCCTGAGACCAAAGCGTTAATTATCAAGAGGCTGAAGACCAGATCCACTGCTGAGGTGGCTGACACCTTCAATGTGTCTCAGCGTCAAGTACAAAGAATAAGAAAAAGATCTGAAATGACTGGAGATGTTTTTGACAAGCCCAGGTCCGGCAGACCCCGCAAGACAACTGCTCGGGAGGACCGTTTGTTGATTTGAAAATCTAAGGCCAGCCCCTTTTCCACTGCAGCAGAGCTCCACCAGGCCTGGTCACCTCAAGTCCCTGCGTCAACCAGAACAGTTTGTAGAATTCTGTCTCGAAATGGCCTCCATGGTCGAATCAGTGCACAGAAACCAGCACTAAACAAAAGGCAATTAAAAAAACATGTGGCATTTGCCAAGGCCCACAGCCTGTTAAAAGGACGGACACTGGAAAAGTGGCAGAAGGTGGATTTCTCAGATGAATCCTCGGTTGAATTACATCACAGCCGCCGCAAATATTGCACGAGACCTACTGGAGCCCGCATGGATCCAAGATTCACCCAGAAAACAGTTAAGTTTGGTGGCGGAAAAATCATGGTCTGGGGTTACATCCAGTATGGGACTGTGCGAGACATTTGCAGGGGGGAAGGCAATATCAATAGCCTAAAATATCAAGAAGTATTAGCTACCTCTTACATTCCCAACCATAAAAGGGGTCAAATTTTGCAGCAGGATGGTTCTCCATCGCATACTTCTATCTCTACATCAAAGTTTCTCAAGGTGCTCCAGGACTGGCCAGCCCAGTCACCAGACATGAACATCATTGAGCATGTCTGGGGTAGAATGAAAGAGGAAGCATGGAAGGCAAAACCAAAGAATCTTGATGAACTCTGGGAGGCATGTAAGACTGCTTTCTTTGCTATTCCTGATGACTACATCAACAAATTGTATGAATCATTGTCGAACCGCATGGATGCAGTCCATCAAGCTCATGGAAGTCATACAAGATATTAAATATGGATCTCACAGCACCACTACTTAATTCACTGATGTTATGCAACATATTTTTGTATTTGAAGTAAATTATTTGTTCAATTTTCTGTAGGCGACAAAACATTTGTCTTGCCAAACTTTGACCTTTGTGTGTTCATTAAATGATCAATCTTTCTTCAGTGAAGCAAATTTATTTTAGTATATTGAGCATAATTTGGGAGGGTTTTAGCTTTCGTATGAGACATTTCTAAAAGCAATCAATTAATTTAAAGTCAGGTTATACAAAATGGATAAGCGACAAGACTTTTGTCAGGGACTGTATTAGCTGTAGTTTGTCCATATATTGTTCAGTCAAAGTGGAGTTAGTTAAGGTCAGAAAAAAGTTTATTATCAGTTCCTGCCTCTGCCATGGACTGAAAAAAAACTTTGCCAACATATTTTTTTACTTATTCTGAGGGATCTGTGTGAGGGGGTGGATCACATGATAAGATATAAAAAAAATTGCATGAACTCACCTGGTTCTCTTTGTGTGTAGTAATCTTGCCTCGCAAGCTGCAAAGCCAGGTCCCCTCTCACAACCGGGACATTGAGATGTCTGGCAGACTCCCTGAGAGCCGCAAGGACTGGGCCTTGGAGAAGAGCTTCCAGTTCTGCTTCCACAGCCTGCAGTTCTTTCTTCAGCACATCATTACGAATATGGAGCGAGGACGACATCGAAATGCTCTGATTTAAAAAATAAAATAAAGTTGAATGAATGTACAGGTGAACAGCATAATTGAAAAATGTGTCAATTAATAAACAATGTTTCTACCTTGACATGAAATAACTTCTCAGAGAGCCAGTTCAGCCCAGTTTTAAAGCTCTTCTCCTCTGCCTGGGCGTGCATGAGCTGGTAATGGGCCACTATATGAGCCCACTGGAGTCTTGCCATTTCTGTCCTTCTGTGCTGCACCTCCTGCTCCTCACAGTCTTTAGGTTCAGAGTACATGCTCTCTCCCTCTTCCTCACATGAGCTGAGGTCCAGCAGCTGAAGGTGCCCTGAATAGGAAGCCTCCACAATATCAGTGATGCCTTTGAAAAAATGCTTCTGTGTGAAGGCAGCAAGTGTTTTGGTATTGAGCTCTTCCTGTTGCAAATAGGGATCCAAAGACAGCTGGGAGAGGAGGACAGAGGAATGCTGGGAGAGGACAGAGGAATGCTGGGAGACCATTGTAAGTGATTCACTTTGTCCATTTTTGTCACATGCAGATAAATATGAACCAACATGTTTCACCTCATCTGTCATATTTTGCAAAATTGTGTTAGTGTGTGCATTCTCAGCACCAATCAATGCGTTTGTCTCTTTTAATCTACTTGCGGTCTTTTCCATTTCTACAGTGAGCCGTAGGTCCATATCAGCCTGTGAAATTGCCTTGAGCTGTAACCTATTGTAGCGTTTTTGCTTCAAGTCCTTCTCTTTGCGCAATGCCTTCAACTCTGCTTCCAAATCCTCTGAACTCACTTCTCCCACTGCTGCAAATGAGGAGGGTGAAACAGAGCTCACGGTGCTTCCATCTGACAGCCCAATGGTTTTGAGGACTTCCCCTAAGGCTGCCTCATCCAAAATAGGTTTGCCAGACTTTTGTAGCTCCTGGAAGGCTCGAGCCTCCTCCACAGTGAGAGCATTGCTTGAGTTGAGGGTTCGACAAACAAACCGCAGAAAATGGAGGTTCTCAGGTGCACAGTCAAACAGCCAATCAAACTCTGATGCCTTCAGTGATGGAGCGCCAGGGAAACCCAGGCGGCCCAGGGCCTCCACAAACTGCCCTCCATCTAACATTGTAGAGCTGTCCTGTAAATTCCACACTGTGTTGAATAGTCCAACATAAAACAAAGGGGAATGTAAATAAAACGGAGAGTTTCAAATTGTGTATGTTGTCCTTATCATAATAAAATAAAAAATCTGGTGACAGATATTGTCATTAAAATACAGTACCATAACTGTTTTAACTTTTCCCAACAATGTAACAAGACTTCAGGAGCCAACAAAATCCAAACAGACAAGAATACATTACAAATGCACAAAATACTGAGGGTTAACACAAATGTAAATTAGATGGATAACCTGCAGAGCTCACAAACCGTGAAAAATAGCCTCTTCTACTGAGAGATTAGCTTCAGCTCTGCGGCGCCTCAATGACGATCTGCCGACAGCATAAGCACGTTGTCAACTATCATAAAAGTCATGGGTTAGAGTTTACAGAACATAAAGATACGCTATATGGTTAAATACCGTGTTGTGCCAGAAAACATAAAGTTCACCTCTTGGTAGTTGCTAGCAGCCAAACTGCCCGCCAAAACACAAACGAAAGTTACGTAAACGTGCTGACGTACTACTGCAGCGTGAAGGCTCGGGCAGCCAATCAGGTGAAAGAAGCGACTCATTGCTCCCGCCTCTCTCGGACTCCTTTCACTGCACAGGCGCCGCACTGTCTTGTCTTTTTCTCCTCAACTCCTTCCACTTTCTTTAAAAACAGTGAGTAAGTCATTGTGTTTTGGCAATATTTCGTTTTATTCTGATGAACAATTCATATTTCTTTATTGCTTCTATACACTGTAGTGTTTACCGCTAATCTCTGCATTTTATGCACATGTTGTGATTACGCAGTTACAATCTGTCTATGGATGGATGAGACAATATTGTAACTAGCTACCAGACTTGACTTCTTGGGAGCTCAAGGCGCACCACAAAGATTTTTGGTTGATTTGGTTCTGGTACGTACGAACTTGATGAATTAACATTGGGGTATTATAATCTGCAGAAAGAATCATGGTCCAGGCAAAAACTTGGATCCTGACCAAACACTTCGATGGTTTTCCAAAAGCAAGTGACTTTGAACTGAAAGTAGAAGAGCTTTCTGAACCCAGAGATGGAGGTAATAATTTTTTTCCACATGGGACATGATAGTATGATAACAAAAGACACTGATTTAAGTACAATTTATTTTCTATTCAGAAGTGCTTTTGGAAGCAGTATTCCTCAGTGTGGACCCATATATGAGGTAGGTTGAGAGCAGTTGACTTTATGGAAAATGAGAGCAGTAGACTTTATGAAAGATTTGTTATTTCTTTTCAGGCCGTTCAGCCGGTTTCGTATGAAGGAAGGGGATGTAATGATTGGAACACAAGTGGCCAAGTAAGGAACACTAGCCCACACATTTACACTTAAATGACCATGTTGACTGGAACATCTGATTTCACCAGTTAGAATGAACTTGTCTTGTGTCTTCTGTTTTGACACAGATGTAATGTTGATAAAAAAACAACATTCTTCAATTAAACATGCAGATTAACTATTGTTAAAGAGCAAAAGTCTCATAACGAGCTGTGTAGCACAATCATCTGTGTAGCAGAATCATTCCTGTTGTATTGGTTACAGAGTGATTCAAAGTAAGAACCCAGCCTTTCCCTTGGGGAGCCATGTTGTGGCACACAGTGGCTGGAGGAGCCACTCGCTCAGTGACGGCTCAAACCTCACCCACATCATGCCAGAGTGGCCTCAAAACGTGTCGTTATCTCTGGCTTTGGGCACTATCGGTATGCCAGGGTAAGTAAATACAGTCTTTCAGTCCTCAAGTTCAAAAAGAGAAGTCAAACATCAAGTCATATTTTTGTCTTTTCAGGCTAACAGCTCTGTATGGCATTGAGGAGGTGTTGGGGCTCAAGGCTGGTGAGACTCTGTTTGTGAATGCAGCTGCAGGCGCAGTGGGCTCTGTGGTCGGACAGATAGCAAAGATCATGGGTTGTAAAGTGGTGGGCTCCGCTGGGTCTGATGCCAAAGTGGCTTTCCTCAAAGAATTGGGATTTGACCAGGCTTTCAACTACAAAACGGTTGGTTCACTGGAGGAGGCTCTGAGATCGGCTTCTCCAGAAGGATATGACTGCTTCTTTGAAAATGTAAGTGATGAGGATGATGCCTCTATCCTTTCAACATTTCAAACTTTCATTATCCCCCACTTTTGAATCGAAAATCTTTTATACATTTTAAATTCAGGTTGGAGGCCTATCCTCAAATGTTGTAATGCAGCAGATGAAGAACTTTGGAAGGATTGCTGTTTGTGGAAGTATCTCCACTTACAATGATGCAGCCCCACAAACAGGTACCCCTCTTATTTAACCTTCGTACATTTAAAATCAAAAAGGTGCATTTTCGGTCTTTGAAGCCTGGATTTGGTTAAGCATTCATGTATTCTTAAGAGACTTTGGCGATAACCAACATATTTATTTCTGATCAGGACCTTTCCCTCATCTGACTATGATCATAAAGCAACTGAAAATGGAGGGCTTCATGCAGGCCAGGTGGGCCCACAAACACCCAGAATCTCTGAAGAGGCTGTTGAAATGGGTGAAAGAGGTAGGACTTTACATATAAACAAATAAATGCAGCAAAGCCCTGACATTTATGTATTTATATGTATATATATTTATATTTATATATATATATATATATGTATCTGTTTGTTGCACAGGGCAAACTCCAGTGTCGGGAACACATCACAAGAGGGTTTGAAAACATGCCTGCTGCTTTCATGGGCTTGCTGAAGGGTGACAATATAGGGAAAGCCATAGTTGCAGTTTGAGAGGAAGCATCAAATGAACTTTAATTATCAGTTTACAGCAACATTGTACCTTCTAATATTTTTGTTCCCAGACAGTTTACAAGTCTAAATGTAAAATGAAGAATGTCGCTCGTAAATAAATAAAACCGCTAAGCTTCTTCTCTTTTTTGAGAGTAGTAATTGTTCTAAAGGCATTAACATGATAATTAATGCAGTAATAATAATAATTATGAACACACGTTTAGAGGGTATTTTTATATAGATCAGCAGTTTTTTTATCATCCATAATCATATATGCTGACCTTGTCATGCAGCTATACCCTGTTTAATTCCTTGGCAGGGTGTGCCTATGAGGAGAATTTCTTGCCTGGAACTGGACAATAGAGCGTGAAATCCTAACTTGAAAGTAAATAGTTGAATCTTATTTGCATGACAGGAACAAGATGCAGTTTTGTCTCATGTGAGCTTTTAATCATGTTATAATGCTGTTACCTCCTCAAAAATGTACAGTACCTGAAATTGTTTAGTATAATTCACACATGCCTGAGTAAAAATATATTAGTTTTTTATAAGTGTACATCTGAAAAGCTCAAAATGCTCTGTTCCACCTTTTGATGTCATGAAACTGCTATCTTTTACCTTTTGTTCAGTAGAGATAGGCTAAATTAGGGTTGAAATTATCCAAATGATTCTTGTTGAGGTGTATAGAGTTTAAAAACACAGTGGAGCACTTCCTGTGTTACCACATCACAAGGTGGAAAAAAAGCATTTTCCATTTGAGAGCCTAAATCTGCAGGGTCTGTGTGTTAAACATGTGAAGACAAAACACAACTCCCGGTATGTTTTTGATGAGGAAACAACATTATAACATATCACAAAATAATGTCATATGGGTCCTTTCAGCACTGGCTTGAGGCATTCAGATGACCCTTAGCTTGAGCGAATCTCTTCACAGTAAGAAAGGCAGAACACCGATTTTAGGTCATATTTTAGCGTTTGACTTTTAAGGACATATTAATATAACATTATATGGGTTAAAGCTACACCCTATTCATCATGGAAGCAATGATGACATATATAATATAAATTACATAAAATGGATAAATTCACATATAGTAATATTAATACATGCATATCTATAAAAGATATAAGAATATATATATATATATATATATATATATATATATATATATATATATATATATATATATATATAAAAGACACATCTCATTACATTCACAGCAGGTAAAGAGGCACATTGGTAAATATTTTCAAGTCTTTTGACAGCTTTGTGAGCAAACTCCAAATTTATCAGTGAAAAGTTATCCATATGTATGGTGATTGTGTACAGCACTGATGTACCCTCAAGGTGGCAGTCCAATTTAAGTGATTCAAGTTCTTATTTATAAGTTAGTATGAAAGCACCACAATGTCAAAATCTTATCATGAAATAAGTGGTTGCATTTGTTCAATAGAAGGCAGTGCCATAGAGATAAGACCAAGGTACAACAGGCTCTATTTTGCGTTGTCATGGTGTGTGGTATTATGAACATTTATGATGTAGAATGATTGCACATCTGTCCTTGTCTCAGTTCATATAAGTCCCGACGTGACTTTGATGACAAAAGTGAGGGCAGGTTAATAATTTCCAACCGATAATCTACTATTGCCAAAATGCACATTGTGGCCCGCCCATCTCTCTTATTTGCACTGCCGAATCAGTCTCTTGGATTAAGATCACTCTTCTGCTGCTCCTGTTCATTTACCCTTTTGTTTTTCTCCAACATTCTGATTTTTATATCTGAAAAGAAAGAAAAAACATGGTTCAATCTAAATCTTGGATCATGACCAACCACTTCGATGGTTTTCCAAAGGACAGTAACTTTAAACTGAAAGTAGAAGAGCTTTCTGAACTCAAAGATGGAGGTAATATCATTGAGGCTGGAAATTATTGTATAAAAATCTTTAATTTATGGTTGCCAAATGTCCTTCCAGAAGTGCTTTTGGAGGCAGTATTCCTTAGTGTGGACCCATATATGAGGTAGGTTGAGAACAATAAGCTTTATGAAAGATTTTCACACAAACATTTGTTATTTCTTTTCCCATCAGACCGTTCAGCCAGTTTTATATGAAGGAAGGGGATGTAATGATTGGAACACAAGTGGCCAAGTAAGAAACACTAGCCCACACTTGCACAGATAAATTACCATGTTGATTAGAAATTTTCAGCAGTTAGCATGAACTGAACTAAAAACATGCAAATTAACAATATTGTTAAGTCGCAAAAGCCATATCATACCCAGCTGTGTAGCACAGTCACTTCTACTGCATTGGTTACAGAGTGATTCAAAGTAAGAACCCAGCCTTTCCCTTGGGGAGCCATGTTGTGGCACACAGTGGCTGGAGGAGCCACTCGCTCGGTGACGGCTCAAACCTCACCCCCATCATGCCAGAGTGGCCTCAAAACGTGTCGTTATCTCTGGCTTTGGGCACTATCGGTATGCCAGGGTAAGTAAATACAGTCTTTCAGTCCTCAAGTTCAAAAAGAGAAGTCAAACATCAAGTCATATTTTTGTCTTTTCAGGCTAACAGCTCTGTATGGCATTGAGGAGGTGTTGGGGCTCAAGGCTGGTGAGACTCTGTTTGTGAATGCAGCTGCAGGCGCAGTGGGCTCTGTGGTCGGACAGATAGCAAAGATCATGGGTTGTAAAGTGGTGGGCTCCGCTGGGTCTGATGCCAAAGTGGCTTTCCTCAAAGAATTGGGATTTGACCAGGCTTTCAACTACAAAACGGTTGGTTCACTGGAGGAGGCTCTGAGATCGGCTTCTCCAGAAGGATATGACTGCTTCTTTGAAAATGTAAGTGATGAGGATGATGCCTCTATCCTTTCAACATTTCAAACTTTCGTTATGCCCCGCTTTTGAATACAATCGCTTGTGTCTGTCTTATGTAACTGTTTACTTATGTGTAAAAATTTTAACATTTCTCTCTGGACTCTAAACCCTTTTAAAAGCAGGGTGTTGAAAATTAGCACTTGTGCTATAAACACCTAATACAATACATCTGATCTAATCCACTGAAATTGCTATATCTATATCTTAAATAAATAAAAAATATTTTACACATTTTAAATTCAGGTTGGTGGCCCATCCTCAAGTGTTGTCATACAGCAGATGAAGGACTTTGGAAGGATTGCTGTTTGTGGAAGTATCTCCACTTATAATGACGCTGCCCCACAAACAGGTACCCCTCTTATTTACCCTCCGGACATTTAAAATCATTACTTGAATCATATTGGCTTGGCTGGAACAAGGTGCAGTTTTGGTGTTTGAAGCCTAAAAGTGGCTAAGCATTCATGTGAGACTTGAGCATAAGTGCTATTTATTTCTATTCAGGAACTTGCTCATACATGACTATTAACTTAAAGCAACTGAAAATGGAGGGCTTCATGCAGGCCAGGTGGGCCCACAAACACCCAGACTCTCTGAAGAGGCTGTTGGAATGGGTGAAAGAGGTAGGACTTTACATATAAACAAATAAATGCAGTAAAGCCCTGACATTTATGTATATATATGTAACTATATATATATGTATTTGTTTGTTGCACAGGGCAAACTCCAGTGTCGGGAACACATCACAAGAGGGTTTGAAAACATGCCTGCTGCTTTCATGGGCTTGCTGAAGGGTGACAATATAGGGAAAGCCATAGTTGCAGTTTGAGAGGAAGCAACAAATCAACTTCAAGTATCAGTTTACAGCAGTATTGTATTAACTAAAATATATAATGCATATCTTGTTCCTACAATTTTAAATTAACTGAATATGATGAGTTAGAGGAAAACTTACGAGTCTCCACACAGCAAATTGACAAACTAGTGTACCTACAACAGTTATGCTGTCTTTGACCATACCTGATCAAACACAGTTGTGGACAAGACAATTGTGATCGTCAGTATATTATGTTTAGAGCACCTTTTACCAAGATTGTGAACAACAATAAACATTTGAATTTTTAAAAATGTGAATGCTCCCGCACATTGCCTCACTGTCTCAGAATATGATTATCTTAACGTGTCAATTTTGACAAAACAAAAATGTAGCTCATCAGATAGTTGGAAATAACATCCGTCTTTCCTCACACAGAGAAGATATGTCATGGCCCCTTTTTTTAACAACACATTCTAAATACCATAAGATTATTATATTAAGGCTAGAATTTAAAAACTCTACAGAGTGAAAAATCCAATATGAATTTTAAAGCATGGCTGATTATGTCATTTCCTGGTGGGACATCACATGAATTGTTACTCATTGGGGTCATAATGGTCATATCAGGGCCTCAAGACAGAAGATTATAAGAGTATTACAAGTTTACAATCAATGCAACTGGTTCCCCACTTAACCTTTTGTTAACAATTTTAGTAGGCTACTGGAGGAAGCCACAGGGCCATACAATGATTGAGTATCTTTTAGGCCTGTGCACTGAAGTCCAAATGAATCTGGCATGAAGTAAGTACAAGAGTATGAAAGGCTACTTTTTACTTACCCCTTAAGAAGAGTCAAGTGTACGACAAACCAAACAGCCACTAGAGGGCGTAGGCTACTTTAACACAGTAACTTGCTGCTTATAGTTCATTGAGTCATGTGACAAAAATTTGGTTAGATCGCTTAAGCACTTGCGTGCAAGTTATCGTGTGAAACTATACAACTTTATAAAACTAGTAGGTTAACGTGTGCAGTAGTATCATTTAGTGTTCTGGTAGGGCCTATATTTGGACGCAGACTAACTGTTATAGCGTATGCCACTTCTGAAAGAATGTGTAGGCCTACGTGTCACAAAAGATTTTTTAAGCACTGGAACGCTTGGTCAATGTATAATATTTTAATTAATTGTGTCTATTTCATTCATTTAAGATAAACTAATGACTCATCAGTCAAAACCCCCGTCTGTTCCACACGGGACGGTACAGCCCACTGGACGGCCCATGTCAGCGAGGCGGGACGTGGGGAGTGGTCAGACAGACAGCTTTCTTCTTCCGTGACTTGTGAGTTTGTGTAGTTCGCTTCTTTTACTTAGGATCCCGTTGTTTGGAAAAATGGTGAAGTACATTACGTCAAAGGTAAGTAGTCTGTACAGTTGTAAGTAAAATTACACTTTTGGGGTTGTTTTGTTTTACAGTCGATCTTGTTTTGCTCTTGTTCAGGCTGAGTTTGATGCCGAACTGGCGGCAGCCGGGGATAAGCTGCTTGTGATCGATTTCACCGCTGCATGGTGTGGCCCGTGCAAAATGATAGCTCCTGTATTTGAGGTAAGAGGCCATGTGGCGGGTAAACTCTCTGTCCAGTCATCTCCGCTTGTAAAATGTGCGTGTAGCCCACTCTCTGGGCTCGTGCTGACATGCTGCTGGGCCCGTGGACCCGCATTCCGCCACGCGATTTATGAAAGAAGCCAATGCAAGCGCGCGCTGTTCACTAGTTCCCGGGCCAAAGGCGTATATGGAACATTTAGTGACAGTTTAACAGCTTGTTTGCTTCTAAACGTTATTTGTGCCACAGACACAAACAGCAGGAATGGGGATTTTGCTGAACCTCCTCATGAAGAGTTTCAGACAAAATTATATCACTGAGTTTTTTTTTTTTTTTTTTGTTTTTTTACTCAAAATTAGATGTTTTTAGCATTTTATTTTTAAGCCTAGACTATGGTCAGAATAATTATATGATGTATGTCTAAAAATGTGAATTCGCCTTCTAACGTGGAATCCCATTGGACCCAGTATATTGACAGCAGCTCCTTTAAAATGGTCCAAGGTGCATCTATTGGCTGTTTCTAATGATCGTTAGGCTACACAAATGATAAGCCTATATCTGTGTCCCGACTTCCTGATTATGAAGTAAACATGGTTAAATAAAATGTCAATATGACTAATACCAATTATAGTGTTGCTGTATTCTTATAAAACATTTAAAGTAGTTCACTTTTGTTTTTTGTTTCAGTTCTCAATAGTATCTGAAAGCCTAAAATGGCTCTCTGAAATACAAGCAACTGCAGATAATGATTAATCAGTTGTACTGCCTTCACTGTTGTGTGACTGTATAATGCAGACTGGACAATGAAGCCTGCACTGTGACTATAAAGCTATAATATGTATTTGAGTCCTCAATATCTGTTAATATTTGAGTTTGAACTCTTGACGCCCTAAACCCTAGTTTCTGTTATTCTGGCATTGCACCACAACTGCACCACGACGCAGAAACTACTGTTTAGCAGAGTCTCATACGTTTGTTTCTACACAGTTGTCCGTCTCCGCCCATGCTGTGCTTTTATCCTCACTCTTCTCATGCTCCATGACAGGGAATCAGTCAGTGTCAGGGAGTGGATATCCAATGACAATGGGTTTCTTTTTATCCCATTGGCTGTTTCTCCATTAGTTAATGCTTAGGCCTGTCACAATAACAAATTTTGAAGTGTGATATATTGCTGAAGTGAATATAGATGATAAATGATAATACTGAAGCTCAATATTTGACCTTTATATGGCCAAAAATGCGAAGAAAATATAAACACAATAAATACTGACCCTATGAAAATATTTTTCCAGCTTTTGAATGATAAGTTGTAATTATCGTGAGAGGCCTATGAACATACATGTATGTTTTATACCTATAATAAATGTTTGTTTGTTTAGAAAATGGCAGCAGACATGAAAGATTGTGTTTTCCTGAAGGTGGATGTCGATGATGCTGAAGTAAGTTCCATTTAACATTTAAGTGTCTATGACAGGTTACACTACTAATTTTTCTCAAACATACTATCATTATGTTTATGATTTTACTAAAAAATATATACATTTTTTACCAGATGGACAATGTTTGTAGGTTTCAGATTTTACTTCCTGGTTGGAAATCATGACATCACACTCCATAACTCTTACCTAGCAATCATATTGTACACTGGGCCAAAACCAAAATGTACACAAAGATTAATATTTAACAAAGATAAGAAAGCACATTTATTTTGTTAAATGTAAGGTTTAAATGTTTAGTGTGTAAATTGTGAGCGATGTCAATATGTAACTCTATAAATAAGAACTCTCTACTTCCTGTCATTTCCAACATATTTTTTACAGTTGTTTTCACAAATTGATTTGTGATTCATGTAAAACTATACTTTATATTTACAACAGGTTTTATCCCAACAAATTAAGTCAAAGAGAGAGTGATCAAAATCTATAATACTCACTTCAACATCTGTTTGTTTTGAAATACATTTTTTTAAATGTGTTAAATTCTAACAGCAAAACTAGTATTGAAATGAGATAGTCATTTGAACTGGCATCAATTAAAAAAATAAAATAAAATTGACATCATGAATAATTTTCAAATGGTCTTGGAGCTTAATTGTTGTGGTATCGGAACATGTATCAAATCTTTCTCATAACAACAAAATAGTCAGATATTTTTTATAGTATTTTTTTTTTATAGTATTGTGACGAATCATCCTGATTGTAATAATTCCTTTGTCTCCATCCCTCACCAGGAACTAACTGCGTTTTGTGAAGTTAGCAGCATGCCAACATTCGTGTTCTTCAAAAATGGCGCACAGGTAAGTTTTTCATTTCTGTGTTTTAGAATCACTGATGCTCACTGATGCTAAACTAAGTTTGTGTTACTCTTTTAGGTTGAGAAGTTTTCAGGTGCTAATGCTGATAAGCTCAAGGAAACTGTTAAAAAGCACTCAAAAAAATAAAATGAATACATTAAATGCATTCCCGGATCATTGGGTTATAGTCGGTGTAAAAGATTTGGCATATGTTAAAATCTGTCAGCTATCCAATATGCAACTTGCTTCAATATAAATTTGATGGAAACTGCCTGTCTGCATTGTTTCATTGTTATTATTGAGATTATTATTGTTATTATTGTGAACAATAAAAAATAAGTTATAAGTGACAGATATCTCCAAGTTGGCCCTACATGCACTCTTATTTTTCTAGACTTTTTAAAAATGTATTTGTTAGTTTAAAGTTGCCATCTGCAAGTTTTTTTGTTTGTTTTTTATCAGCAGATGACAGATGTGAAACCTCAGTTCTTTACCATTAATAAATAAAATTTATTGAGCCATTGTACATGGTTATAAGGGGTTAAGTTCCAAACTAATGAACAGCCACAAAACCTTTTTCTTTAATATAAATGATATAAATAGAAGAGAATTTTCACAATAAAAGTATTGGCTGGCAAGGTCTATAATTATATTTTAATTCAGTTCAAAAATAAAAGGTTTATTGTCAATTCTTCATACAGAATATATGAAGAATTGAAATTGTTTTTGTCTATCCCAAGCGTATAAATAAATAATAAATGGAAAAGTCCAAGTGTTCTTTGGAGAGATGCAGATTCCTAGCTTCCTCTCAGCCTGGTGGTTAGAGAGGGGAGAGAGTTCAGCATCCTAACAGCCTGGTGGATGAAGCTGTTAGTGAGTCTGGTGGTCTGGTGTCTCCTGTATCTCCTCCCGAAGGGCAGGAGGCTGAACCTATTGTGTGCGGGGTGACTTGCATCACTCACAATTGTAATGGCTTTGTGGCTGAGGCGGGTGGTGTATATGCCTTTCAGGGAGGGGAGTGGTGCACCACTGACTTTCCTGGCTGTGTTCACTATGCACTGCAGGGCTCTTCTGTTGTAGTCAGCGCAGCTACTGCTCCACACTCATTCCTTTGTAGAATGTGGTCATGATAGGTGGTGAGGCACTTGCCTGCTTGAGTTTTCGCAGGAAGTAGAGGTGCTGCTAGGTTTTCTTCACCAGTGATGCTGTGTCTGTGGTCCACGAGAGGTTCTCACTGATGTGCACCCCTAAGAATTTTGTGCTGCTCACTCTCTCCATAGCAGAATTATTTTATGTATATATGATTCAAATATAGGTTACAACAAATTAAAACATCTTGATGTACATATAAAACACAGTAAAGGAGTGAGAAGTAAAACTAGTTCTTACTCCCACCCACATTCAATAACTACAAATAACTGTGGGGATACCATCCTACACTTTTCCAAATAATCATGGTTTTAATAATTTATCAAGCATTACAGACACTACCTTGTACAATATCTGTTACTAACAATACTGTATTTTTCTACACAACCCACATGAAACCAGGCAAATAACACAGGCAAGTCTGGCCGAACAAACGTACAAAGTTTTAGACAATCATCTTAAAACTTTTCTATCTTTTATAGTAATTGATTAGCTAGACAAAAATAAAAATTATATCACAACAAATTGGTACTGAAATGTAGAATTTAAGTAAATGTTACTAAGGTAAAACACAACAAAACATTTAATAAAAATAATATAAATCTTGTATTTACACTAAATAAAAGTTGATTGCTGAGCAAAATACAATTTTAAGTGCTTAAGATTTAGATATTTAAAGTGCACCATCCATCCCACATTGCACTAACCCTGTATTCCACTACTAATTCTTGACCAAGTTATAAATGAGCAACTATAAAACTACAATTACCATACAATCAAAAGCCAACATGGAAAAATTTGTGCAAAATCCAACAATGCACTGGCCTACTGTAGTGGAAAAAATCGGGGCCGTTGAGTCCACACTACAATAGTATTAACCATCAGGCTTCTCTGTCTATTTTTGTCCATTTTGACTTTTTTTTTTTTTACCTAGTTGGCTCACTATTTCAATTCAGTTAATGCTAAAGACACCACATTTTGTGGAAAGTTTTTAGGCCTCAAGAAATGTTTTGCTACTGTACTGGGACACTCACAGATGTCACTTAGGTATTGTTTTGATTAGTAATGAAATGGTTAATTCCCCCCAAGTATTTCCTCTGAAGGTCTTTTGCCACATTTGCTGCCACATCTGGTGTAAAAAGCCTTTGGCATCTTAAAGCTCCTTAACTAGCCTGTGTTTAGGGTCTAAAGTGTGACTTTTCTAAGGGAAGCCTGAGGGTCAAACCACAACAGCAATATTAGGAATGTACCTTTAGTATTCAACCAGATATGACTAGGGGCTCTGGGCACTGCAATATTTAAAAATACTTTTTAAAGGGTATTGAATGTTAAAACTTTCAGTCTATATTGGAGCAACACTGGTGGTGGAAGGCGTCTTTTTATTCTTCATACGGACAAATGACTATACTTGATCTAAAAAAGTATTCCTTGTGGCATGTGTTTGATTTAACCCTCTCCAGGCAGGTGCTGCAGATTTACAACAGCTAAATTCCAAGTACCTACTGACTCCACATCCATATTATATGAGCTTTTTTTTACTCAGGAGCCATTTCTCCCATCCATGCTGATAAACGTGGGCGATGCAGACTGTGCAAGAATGGCTACACGCAAACGGCCTGCCAGAAGTGCAAAATACTTTTTTTGTTTACAAAGGATAAAAAAGTCAGAATTGTATATTACTACCCCATATTATAATTTTCCTGTTACTAAAAATTAATTTGAGCCTGAGAGGGTTAAGGGTAGTTTACATTTTGGACTTTTATTTTGATACACGCCGGAAGAGATCACGTCACGTAAATATAGATATAAAACCGTTGCTTTGGGGCATTCAGCAAATCTCAACCGCATCTTTACATCGTCACCATCGCCTCCGTCTGCAGCCACAATGGTCAAAGAGATATCAAGTTTGGTAAGTCACTTTTCTGTTTTCACATTGCAAAAAATTCCATTTAAAATAGTCTGTTTTTGGACTGAATGGAGGAGTGATGCGTGCACCTTAACAGCGCGCGTAATCCACCTCGTGAGTAAAGCAGATTCTTCTTCTGGACGCGGTATTTGCTCATAAGCACAAATATGAGTCAGGTCATATTTACAAATTATTACAGTGTTTGCTTCAGAAGTCTAAAGTACGGTAGATACATGGGAGGATGTGGTTGAATAGCTGCCTGGCCTATTCGCCAAGCACGAGGAGTCAGGATCCTGCTCCTTGATACCAAAAGCAGATGACACAAAAGCACTGATGAAGCATTATGAAGTGCGCTAGAGACTGTTTAAAATCCTGTGTCTTCTGAATTTTCAACAATCTGGAATGGAGGCAAAGTGATTTCAGTAATTAACGGAATAACAGATGCTAATGCTAATGGTTTTATATACATTGATAACAAAAATTTAAATACAATTTTGAATTCACAAGGTACATATATTTGTTCATTTGCTTCTCTGTTAAGAATGGAAAAATAAAACTTTTCTAACCTCAAAATCGCATTTGAGCTTCACAAAAATATATCACATTTTATCATAAATTATAGTTACATCTGTAGATTAAGTGGAAAAACAAGTGTGCTCAACTTTTCTGTAAGGATTTGTTAAGTAAAAACCAAAATCTGAATATTTCCTTTGTCAAAAATGCTTAGTTTCTATTGTAATCTTTTCTTAAATTAATAACTCTCTATCTATCTATATAATATAATATAATATAATATAATATAATATAAAATATGGTCTTCATTCATATAGTCTATGGGTATAACCAAGCCAAATTTCCCAGAGATTTTCTGAGATTCTGAGGTTAATCCTGGTTTTCCCATTGAAATCACATTATGCTTCAGCTTCATGTTTTTTGTTTACACATTTTTAAAGGAACATTATCTAATCTGCAGTTGTTTCGCCCTAAGTATGTTACTACTTTAGTGGTGGAACATAAAGTAAAAGCAGTAAAGTAATGTTACTGTACTAAAGTAAAGTATAGATGCAGATTAAGCACATTTTAAAGTGGATACGTTTTACTTTTACTTCACTACATTTGAGAGAAGACGCCTGTATTTCTATTCACTACATTAAATTTTTTGAACAGGACAGGTTTATTTTTAACATGTTCAGAATTTGAGTATACAAAAATATGCAAATAAAAATGGGTAAGAACAGAATCGATTCAGTTGTTTCTATTCAACAAAATTCAGCACAAATGTTTATCAAAATCATTACATTTGAAGCTTCATTAGACCTCAAATGCTGCAAAATGTTTATATTCTTTAAGTACTTTATACTTAAGTTGGTATTTTCATGTGATACTTATACTTGCCTTTTTTTTTTTTTTAACCCTGGTATCTGTACTTTTACTTAAGTAACAAAATCATGTACGTAAGTTCTTATGTGCCTTCATAGTATGAATCTATGCTGCCACTGCCACATAAATAAACAGTTAAATAATAATCTGTTTTGCTAAGTCTACTTGGTCTGGTCTGGTGTTGGTCTGTTTTTATGCATGTGTTCTCTAACAATGCATGTATGGGTCACAATTTGTCATTTTTGGTCATTTAATGTAGGAAGAGTTTAAAGCAGAACTGGCTGCTGCTGGGAACAAGTTGGTGGTGGTAGACTTTACAGCTCAGTGGTGTGGTCCCTGCAAAGCCATGGCTCCCAAATTTGAAGTAAGTATTTTTGTATGTCTTGTTTTGTTTGAAACCTATTTTTAAGTTTCCTTTATTCAGATATATATATTTCTTATTTTTCAGAGAATGGCAGAAGAAAACAAAGATGTTATTTTTTTGAAGGTGGATGTTGATGATGCAGGAGTAAGCCCTCTCAGTACAGTTAGACCTCTTTAATCTTGGTTATCCATTGTTTGGAATCTTATTTTGTCAAACATTTCCTTTCAGGACGTGAGTGAATTTTGTGGCATTAAATGTATGCCAACGTTTCATTTCTATAAAAATGAACAGAAGGTAAAAGAGGGTTATAAACTTCTATTATATATTTCTATTATATAGTTATATATTATTGTTTTGTAATTTATGTTCTCTTGGCCATCAGGTGGACGAGTTTTCTGGGGCTAATGAAGATACTTTAAGGGCAAAAGTGGCCCAACACAAGTGAAGTTCTGAAATAGTGTACACTGATATTATAACACTAATATTGTGACACTAATATAGTGTAAACAGAAGCTGCATCATTACTGTGTGAATGTCATTTGCTCAGTAAGTCTTAAATGTGTTGGTCCTGTCATGTTCATTAAGTTGATTTTAATAAATAAAGTAGATCAAACTGTGCAAAATGTAACTAGCTTTGTTTCAGAGAATAAGGTCTTCAAGAACTAAATGTCTGCTTTCTTCTAGATTATTACGATGGATATTTTTAACATTTAAGGGGTGAAGAGACACTACAGGCAAAACTAATTGTCAAATTATTTTGTTTTATTCAGTTTGGGCTCACAACATAGACATGTTTTATTATTTAATTTAATCATCTTGCAGTAGCACCTACGTTTGTTTAATTTCAAGCCTGATTTAAGATTTTTGAGTTTTCTCAAATACTAAATAAAATATCCCTAATATGACAACAAAATGAAGCAAGACATTCAAACCTGGCTCTATTCATGCTTCTTTAAATGTCCAAAATGTTCTAAAGTTGGACTATTTTTACACATAAAAGATTTTGTTTCTATATGAAAACATGATTTTCTTCCTTTTATGTAAGTTAACTATAGAATTTTTCAAATTGTTTTAAATTATTTTCCTATTCTCCTGCAGTGTTTTGCTTTAAGATGTATTCACCTCAGCAAAAGATTTATCTGCTTTATCCTCAGGGCAAAACAGAATTTAAAGAGTTAATTAGCTTCTTTAAATATTGTATTTGGCCCCTTTTGATTTATATGTGCTAGTTACAACTCATTTATTGAGCAGAAAATGTGAAAGTTACAAGCAGAAGCAAACAATTTTGAAGAGAGTGTAAACTTTGAAGACTTACATTGGCAAATATGACTGGTTAATTGAAGTTTAGGGCTATAAAGTTAACTCTATATTGCAAATTATCTTAAATTGTTATGTTCCAACCAGACTAATATAATGTACAGTGTAATATACATTCAAGTAGCCTTCTCCTCTGGTTGAACTTCTCAAGCCTGACAAATGTCAATAAAAAAAAAAGGCATATTCAGACAGATATTTGAAATGTGCAGGACTGCAAAAACCAAATGACGAAAACAATGAAAGTGTATATTATGCTTTATTAAAAATGTGAAAATAGTTTACACATGTACAATGAACACTTGCACATCATAACTTTACACATCGTACTTGTACAGTATATAGCAGCATATGTTTAATACTGTTAGGTTTGTATGAAAAAATACAGCTTTATTTTACAACAGTTCTTGTTTTACTTTTGCAGTGAGGTGAATGAACATATCTTATATTACACAAATTGTCCTATAGAAAGACTTCACAGAGAGCAGAGGATTCATTTGATGTGATAGTATCCTGATTTTCTTTTCCTGCAAAACAAAAAAAGAAATATAAGAAAAATAGAGTATATAAAGTATCTTGAAAGGAGGCTTTGCATAAATTCTTGGTTAAATCTTTTCAGACTTTAAGAGCTGTTTTTTACCATTACTTTGATTTGAATGACTTATGATTGAATGATGAAGTATATATATATATTTTATAAAAATATAAAATATAATCTCAAAAATTATTTTCTTTTTACTTTTTTTGTAAAATCTTAAATATAATGATCTTAACTGTGTTGAAGTAAAAGGAGCAGTCTAACCTGTTCTCAATTGCTGTCATGAATCAAGGAAATTAAGTAAGAGTGTTGTTGACAAACAGGTCTATGTTAACACTTCTTTACTGGTGTAACTCTGTTCTTAGAGCTGTGTTAGTCTCTCATATTGACACTTGGCAGTGACTTCAAGATGGGTGTGTGTGTTAGTGACTAACTGAAAAACTATTGACTTATGCTAGCTAGTCTGTTAACTGTAATTTATGTATGTGTGAGAGGCTTGTGCACACACGCAAATCAGCTCACCTCTTGTAGTTCAAACTAAGTCAGCTCTATCTAGTCAGATTGTGTTAAAACAAAGCTCAGATAAAAATGTAATCAGATTAACAGAGCTTCTAACGAAGTAGTGTTTTCAGTCAGCTTCACACCTCCAGGAAATGTCAGTGACAGCAGCTGCAAAATATCAACTTTGATATGAATCCCTGTTTAAACATAACATTTACCACTTGTTGAAACAGAGATAGACAGAGTTATTTTAGTCTGACACACCTTTGTAGAGACACATATGTTAAAGTACTTACCTGGAACAGTCGTGTCCACTCCAGCCCGGGCTGCAGTGACACCTGTTTGGCCTGATGCACCTGCCTCCATTCAAACATTGGGATGAGCACACCGCTGAGGGGAAATAACAGAGAGCCACACACTTTAGTAGTGAGTCATGGAATATTACAGTGTTTGGAGGTCACACCCTGGTTCCACAACTTAAAATTCCATTAATTTTTCCCATAGTCTTTCTGTAATAAATTAAGTTTGAAAGCTTGCTCAGGGCTAATCAGCCATGTGGTAACTATTGGCCACAACCTATAATTATATAGGTTGATAAAGGTAAAACTCAGTTTTCTGAGTTTTTTTACAGGTCATAGTTGGTCAGAAAGTCTGAAAGTTTGAAGTTTGGTTTCTACAAAGCTGTAATTACTTGAGAGATAAATAACATAATGTCATATGGAGTGGAGCCAGAATAAGCCTTCAGCTTCATTCTACTCATTCCCAAACACATTGTTACTTGTTGAATGTTACATTACATCATTATTTTTGTTCACAATGTTTGAGACAAATACATTTAATTTCATAACATAATAGATCAGTTTTGCCTTATTTTTGTTTAAAGGAAATAAGCGCACTCTTTATTCTGAACTGGTATCGACAAATATCGAAATCAGTATCGGAACCAGAAAAGCTTGATTGGTGCTACTCTCTACTTAATATTTGAAAATTTTTTTTTAAAGAAGAGAAAAGGAGAGAAAAATTTATGGGAAACCAGAACAGACTCAGAAGTGGGTAGGACTGTTGAGCTCTATGTAACATTAGTGATGTCATGAAGGGTGATGATGATGAGAGTGATAATGTGGAGGGAACCCTAGTAATGTGTTTCCTGTTCATTTGGGCTCTTACCAGTGTGACACCGTGTGCCCGTCCATCCCGAGGGACACTCGCACTGGTAGGGTGCCACACAGCGGCCTCCATTTAGACATGGCAGGATGCAGATGGCTACGTGAGCAGCGCACGTACGATGGAAAGAGAAAAGTAAAAGAGAAGATTAGGTGACTCATTACTTCACTCTGGAGGAAAAGGAAAAGTGTTGGAGTTATTTTAAAACACTTACGCTCCTCACAAAGTCGGCCCATCCACCCCTCAGGACAAGAGCAGATGTTTGGTCTCTGACAGAAGCCTCCATTCTGACACTTTAACCAACACATTGCTGAGGAGCAAACATGAACACTGTTAAGCTTTCCATTAAGTTTGTTTTTCTGACACAACAGACAGTCATAACTTCACCACAGAGCCGAAAAAAGTATGCATAATAAAAATTTTCAGAGCACAATGCGAAGAACAGCACACATCAGCATCAGGGGGTGGTTACTGAGAAAAGTGCACTATATAAGCAAAATATTTTACATGTTTTACATCATAATAAACTTGAAGTCAGTGGCTTAGTTTACATTAGGGGTCTCCAACCTGTGGCTCGGGAGCTACCAGTTGCTCTCTACCCTCTTCTAAGTAGCTGGTCAAGGCATTGTGCTGAATAACTACAATGTGATGAATTAAAAGCCTCTTACCACTGTACCGGTATCATGCCAACCTCTCTGCTATGATAATGGTAATGTTTTAATAGTATCTAACTACTCCATCGAAGGCTTGCCATGGCTCTTGTATACTGTATAGATAATTTCTTCTGACTGCTAAAATGAGCAGCTCTCTGGCATTTTTGCTTTTTAAAGGCATATAACTGGAGGAAAAAGGTTGGAGACCCCTGGTTTACGTGTACACCAAAATCTGATTATTTTCTGATTTCTGGACCTTTAACATTATTTAAATGTTATCAAACCTCAAAATCAGTTATGAATGATTAGAGGGATCATGCTGAGAAAGAAATCAAATGTCCCTATAACTCCAAAGTTTAATATATAAATAATAATCACATTTTGAGTCTAGCCACAGCCAGTAACTTTTTTTTAAATCTGTTGCAAAAATATATATTGCAGCAAGACAAGGCAAAGTGGTTAGTTGGTCTTCAGTGAAAACAGCTGCAAAGGATCAAGCAAACAGAGTGGACAGAAGCAGAGAATTCAAACCCTCTGGAAAAACTACTCGTGCTCATGAAGATGCAGATTCCAGTGAGTGAAGTACACAGAGGGGGGCACTCTCTCTACCTCTGCATGTGGGAGGAGGGGTCCAGGTGCCGTTCTCCAGACACCTGCTCCGTCCTAGGCCCTCCATGTTGTAGCCCCCAAAGCACGAATACACCGCCACATCCCCGAACTGGAAGACTGCCCCCCGCACCACCCCATTGGCCACATGGAGAGGGGGGCCACACGAAACCCCTGCACAACATCGCTGTAGTCACTTTTGTGTTTGCATGATTAAATGCACGGTTGATACAGCAGGAGATCTCCCTAGTGTAATCGAAATCCTATACTAAAACTAGTATCGAAACTAGATACTCAATACTAAAAAAGTTATATTCACAGGACAGAAATAAATCTAGACACTCCCTGTCAAAAGTATCCAAACAAGTATCAATGCTAAAATAGTCACATTCACAAGACAGAAATGAACCTTTGTGGAATAGTTTAAGAATGATCTTGAGCTCTATCAGAACAAGTATAAGAGCACATAGACTAGTATTCGCTCATGGGCCACTAAGGAACCTACCTGGGCAATTAAGGGATTACACAGATATAAAGCCGCATGGGAATATAAAAGAAAGAACTATTATTTAATGTTGAAAATCACCTTCTATTGTCTAAATAAACAATGTTTTTATTATCACTGTGGTATCAGAATAGGTGCTGAATTTAAAATTTTAGTATTACTATGGTAATAGTACTCTCTATGGAGGCATGTCCACTTTTAAACAGTATTTTCAATTTTCAAAAATAGTTAAAACCTTCTGTAAAAATACATTTATGTTCAACATGCTAAGATAATCAAACAGCAAAGAGATGTAAACAATGACTCATAGCAACATACACTAGGTTACATGGGTGAAGGAAACATCA